GGGAGCAGCGGGCGGCAGGAGAGGTCTGTGCGCCATGTGGGCTCCTCCGGTGGCCGGGGAGCAGCAGGGGATCGAACCGGCGCTGCAGAGGCTGCGGGCAGCTTCGCAACCCAGCGCTCAACCGCTGCGCCACCAGGGAGGCCCCAGAATGAACTTTCTTATGGTAATTGAGGGCCACCCAGAGAGGAAGGACTTCCCACAGTCACAGCGCTCATAAGGCTTCTCTCCGGAGTGGGTGCTCTGATGGTAGTGACGACTGGACCTGGAGGCAACGCTTTCCTACACTCACAGCACACATAGGGCCTTTCTCCCGTGTGAACTATTTGGTGTCGAATGAGGGTCCCGTTATTATTAAAAGATTTCCCACAGGGCCTCCCCAGTGGCACAGTGGGTTGAGTGCCACGCTGTGAAGCTGTCTGCAGCCTCTGCACTGTGGGTTAGATTCCAGGCCAGCGAGGGAGCAACCCACATGGCGCGGCAGACCTCTCCTGTCTCACCTGCTGCTCCCTTCAACAGTGTCTTTGTCCGTCTGCCTGTTCTGTTCCCTGCTGTTGCTGGTGGATCCTCTCACCTTCCTGCACATCTGGCTTATACCCCAGTTCTTGTATAAATAAAAAAAATCTTAAAAGATTTCCCACATACAGTGCACTCGTAAGGCTTTTCTCCTGTGTGGCACTTCTGATGATAACGTAGTGCTGACCTAGAATTAAAAGATTTTCCACACTGGGCCTCCCTGGTGGCGCAAGGGGTTAAGACGCAACCTATGAAGCTGTTCTGCAGCCTCTGCAGCACGAGTTCGATCCCCGGCCAGGGAGCTACCCACATGGCTCAGTAGACCTCTCCTGTCTCCCCACTGCTCCCCTCAGCAGTGTATTTCAGTAGATCTGCCTGTTCTGCTCCCCACTCTGTCTCTGGTGAATCCTCTCACACACACACCTCCCCCCACCTCTGGCCTATACCCCAGCTCTTGTGTGCATAAATAAATAAATCTCTAAAAATAAAAAAAGATTTTCCATAGTCGCTACATTTACAGGGCCTTTTTTGAGTTTGAGCTCTTCTAGCCTGAGTGCTTTTTGAGCTAAGGGTTAAAGATTTTGCACACTCATTGCACACACAGTTGTTTTCTCCACTGTGACTCGTGACTAAGGGATTTCCCACGTTTGCTACACTCGTGCTGTCTTTCTTTTTTTTTTTTTTTTTTAAAAGATTTATTTATTTATTTATTTATACAAGCACTGGGTACAGTCAGAAGTGCGGGAGGGTGAGAGAATTCACCAGAGCCGGAGCAGGGAGCAGAATAGGCAGAAAGACCGAAGTACACTGCTGAGGGGAGCAGCGGGCGGCAGGAGAGGTCTGCGCGCCATGTGGGACCCTCGCACTGCAGCCGGGGATCGAACCGGCGCCGCAGAGGCCGCGGGCAGCTTCGCAACCCAGCGCTCAACTGCTGCGCCACCGGGGAGGCCCTCGTGCTGTCTTTCTTGACTGTGAATTTTTTTATGTTTCCTGAGGGTAGAGTTTTGCCTGAAGGATTTTCCACTTTCGTGAGAGTCACGAAGGTTTTTTCCAGCGTGGACTCTCTGGTGCAAAACAAAGGAGGATTTGTACCTGAACGTTTTCCCACATTCACTGCACACAAAAGTCTGTCTTCCAACGTGGACACCCTGGTCCTGAACAAGAGTGTTGTTTGGGTTGAAGGCTTTTGTGTGCGCTCTCCTGGTGCTGGAACTTTTACGGCTTTCTAACGTAGCATACTGGATGGTCTTCCTTGGCTTCTGTCCCAGGTGGGTGGCCTGTTGCTGGAGGTGTAACTTGCCAGCTGGAAAGTCTTTCTCAACCACCCTACTGGTAATGGCGTTTTCTGACTTACAGAATCTGTAGCTCTTCACAAACGAGGACCAGTCCACGCTGCTCCTGCAGGCTTTCTCCTCCGTGTGCTGCTCCTGGTCATGATTCACGTTCATGCCGAAAGAAAACTGCTTGGCACATGCCCCCCACCTCAACAGGAGCTGCCCATGCTGTGTTCCCAGGAGCTCAGTCACGAGGAAAATGTCTCTCAAGTCCAGAGCACACAGTTCACAGGGGTGAGTCTTCTGAGAGGAGCTGCCTTGGGAGCGCTGGGCTGGGACTCGCCTACAGACACGCTCTGCTCAAAGGGAGTCTCCACAGCAGCAACCTGAGCACAAGAAAGTCTGGTAAAGTAAACCTTGACAAAAGCTGTCATCTCCACCATAAATGCGCATCTGTCACACCGAGGAGCAAGTCTGGGATTGAACAATATCTGATATGATGTGAGCCATACCCCTCTGACCACACCCAGCCAGAGCTGCAGTCACCGGTTTCCTCTGCTGCACAAACAAGTCTTCCTTCTAAGACTCTAACTGCGCAACTACATGAGACATGGGGGTGAGGAGCTAACATTTTCTCAGAGTAACTCAGTACACAGCAGACCATGGGGGAGAACTAGGAGAATGAATTCTGCAGGAGAGTAGTCCAGGCATTACCACTCTTCATGCTTCAGAGAGCACACAATCCATGAATGAAACTAGCACTGGGGGGCTCAGAAGTCCCCACCCCTCACCTAGGCTTCTTTCCCTTCTGGCTGTTGGCCTGTGACTTCCTCATCCGCGACCTTACTGACCTAGTGAGGGAAGGGACTGCCTGAGTTCTGTGAGCTGCTCCAGGAGATTAACTGAACCTGAGGTGGGCGTCCTGGGAATTTTTGATAGTCAGGTGGTTGGAAGCACAAACAATCACCTGGGGTTTGGAGCCATCTGAAATCAAAGGAAAGGGTGTGGGGATGTTATAGGGCTGCCCTGATACAAAACAGGGTGCCTGACTGTGGGTCCTCACCCGCGCACTTAAAAGGACTTATCAATGCTCTACTGCAGGCACACGGGAAAGGTTCATAAAAGGTTTATTTACAAGGGATGGGGAAATGAGGAAATGTGCAGCTCAGGGAGAAAAGTGGGAGACAAAGTTTTAAATGACTCCTACCCGATCCGCCGATCAGGAATCCCAAAATGGCACTCTGAGAGCTGGCCGCGAGCCAGGAGCAGTGAAGCCAGGAGGCGAGTGACAGCCAGCCCCCCAAGGCCCACGTGTTTGGTTTTTATACCCAACCTGGCTGCTTAACTCCACCCTCAGGTCCCAGCCACCTTCCCTTTGGTGGTAACGGGATTTGTCTTTCCCAATGTCTTGATGGCTTTGGTCTGGAGTGGGGGTGGGGTCCACAAAGCCTGTATGGGATTAGCGCAGGACATCCTTTCCCCCTAACAGGGACGTCTGATCTGTAGTCACTTGGTCAGAGGGACTGGCTGTGACCAGTGTGTCACACACTGCAGCACAAGTTCGATTCCCGGCCGGCCGGGCATCAAACCACATGGCACAGCAGACCTCTCCTGACTGACTCGCTGCTCCCCTTGTTAGGGGGAAATGATGTCCTGAGTTAATCTACAACACCCTCAGCAGCGTACTTCAGTCAATCTGCCTGTTCTGTTCCCCACTCTGTCTGTGGTGAGTCCTCTCACACGGCACGCCCCCCCCATCCCAGCTCTTGTATGCATAAATAAATAAATCTTAAAAAAAATAAATAAAGCACTACTCAGAGGTGTGATAAGGTCACGAATATGCTACTAGTGAGAGTGTAAGTTGGACTCACATTAGCAGAGGACAACTGGTCAGTATTAAGGTCCTTACTTATATGTATGATTTAAGGTTTGGGCATGTGCACGCGCACCAGGGGGCCTCGGTGCAGAGACCTTGCAGGTAAGCACGAGCCCTTCAGCGCAGGAGTCACAGTTTCAGAAACATGCAATGTCCTCGAAATGCAGCCACGTCACCCGGACAGAGCGTTCAGCACAGACTCCGGGGTCCGACCTGAAGACTGAGGATGTGCCTGGCCCCGAGCCCCGGGTGACACCCACGTAAGGCCCAAGGAAGAACCAAACTATGAAAACGAGAGGCCTGTGACCTGGCCGCCCCATGGCCGTCGAGGCCCCGAGCGGGGAGTGGGGGGCGCCTTCTCTCAGCAGCTGGGCCCCTGGACCTGCTGGGGCGCCCCCCCCTGCGCGCACCGGCCTCCCCTCCGGCAGTCTTTGCACCTGTGACAAGAGATTATCAGAATTGGTCTTGGCCCCGCCGTTTCCAGCTTAGCGCCCCTGAACCTTCGGCATCTCCGAGGCACAGGCGCAGCTACGGCGTCTCTACTCCCCCAACAGCGCCTTCCCGCTCCCCTTGGCGCACCTCAACGCGGAGGCTTCTCCCGCTTCCGCGTCCCGTGCAGCGCAGGAAACTACACTACCCAGAAGCCCGTGCGCGGAGCGACGCGGCCAGCAGCCAGTGACAGGCCAGCAGGGGGCGTCGCCCCGCGAAATCGGGGCGTGGGGGCGGGACTTCTGCCCACCGCCTGGCGGCCATTTTTCCGCTCCGGGTCTTTTCCGCCGCCCGCCGTGGGTCCCGCCGCGGAGAAACGGGCCCGGCAGGCGTAGGGGCGGCGCCCGCAAGGAGGCGGCCGACGGTTCGCGAGGCCGTCGGGGCCGCGCCAGCCCGGGCCCCCGCCCGCCCCCACCCCGGCCGCCGGCCCGCGCCCCACACGGCCCGATGGCGGCGGCCGCGCCGAGGGCCCCGGCTGAGGTACAGGCGCGCCCGCTCCCGCCGCGGCGTCGGGGCCGTTGCACGGGCGCCCGCGGGGTCCCCGAGCCGGGGTGGGCGCGCGAGTCGCCGTCCCGTCCCAGCGGCGAGAGCGGAGGGCAGGGCTCGCGGCGGCCGTCGGCGAGGAGAGACCGGCGCTCGCCGGGGAGCGGCCCGCCCCGGCTGTGGGGTCCTGGCGGGGCCGGGGACCCCAGGACTCCGCTGCCAGAATCGTGGGGATCGGCGGCCGGGGCGGGGGGCGAGAGCGGGGCGTTTTCCTGGCAGCTGGGGGGCGGGGTCCCGAGGCTGGAAATCTGCAGCTCCAAGGTCGGACGGAGGCGCGTGCAGGTGGGCGCGGCGCTCACGGGCGAGCTCTGGGTGGCATTTGGGTCGCCCTGGTGTGGCGGGGCACGACCCGGGCCGTCTCCCCTTTCTCTGGGTTCTTCTCGGTTGGCAAATAATGAAGGGAACACCAGGCAGGTTGACGAGAGAAAAATTAAACAAACAAAAAAAAGGTTTAGTCACACGTGCCCCGCCTGTGTGCCAGGGAGGCGCCAGTGCAAGGCCAGCGTTATGTAAGTCACTTTTCTTCCACGGGGGCATCTTGCCCCCACCTTTCAGAGCCCCTCGTGCGGAATAATCGTTATCCCAGAGAGACGGTTTGGGGGTAACAAGTTGCGTTGTTTCCCTACACCAGCAGTTACTGGCAGGTCAGAAGGAAGCCGGTGCCGGAGGAGCAGTGGTTTCCTTGCCCTGCGTCTGTGGGCATCACAAACGGGTGCAGGTGAGGGGTGATCTTGGGAAGAGTGTGCCCTGGCAGATGACTAAGACTTCCCCTGCCGTCAGAGAAATTGAGGCAAGATGCCACTGAGAGCTCCTGGTATCACTAGTGTGTGCCTGACAGAATTCCATGCTGGGCTTTGGTGGGGCTTGGGGTGTTGGTGCTTCTGGGAAACGGATCTGAATCAATGGGGCATTTGTGAGAGTTGCTGTGTCTGGCAGAGTGACGGTCAAAGCCGAGCTGATATACACTGTTAAGTGGGGAGGGAATTACACCTGCCGAGGGATCAGGAAGCACAGAAGTGGAGCAGGGTGCCGGGAGTCTTCAGTGCACATGTTTCTGGTAGGGTAGTTCGGAGGTAAGAATCAGATGTTTGGGCCTTTCTGCACACGTGTAGCTGTGGAGTGCAGCTGTGAGGACGAAAGGTCTGAGATCTGAGGAATGTGTGCAGCAAGACTATGGGCCCCCATTTGGCCATCTGAGAGTCACCATCTAGGGAAACTGGCAGGATCCACTGGCCTCTGCAGGCCAACCAGACAGCAGATGGCTCTGCGTGCTCCCTTACGTTTGCAAGGCCTGTGTGTAGTGACCGGAGGCGTCCTGAGATGAGACTGGGCATCAGCAGCACCATGGATTGGTCATCCTCTGAGGTGGGGAGTTCTGGCAGAGGATGAGCCTGGGGTCGATTTGGGGAAAGATGGATTGTGGGCCCCGGGGCCTTGTTCATGGTTTCGTCTGTCCCTCCCGTAACAGGACAGGGTGACCTTTGAGGACATTGCTGTGTACTTCTCCTGGGAGGAGTGGCGGCTGCTTGATGACACTCAGAGGCGCTTGTATCTTGATGTGATGCTGGAGAACTTCGCACTCATCTCCTCCCTGGGTAAGACTCGCAGCCTCCCCGTGACCTGGGCTCTGTGTCTCACGATTTCTTCCTGTTATTCTAGTCTCACATGTGAATCATGGAGTCTGCTTGTTCCCCCGGTTTTGGGGGGAATTTTCTGTTGCTAGCGATGGTCTGCTTGTTCTGCCTTCTGTTCTCCCTGCAACCTCAACCCTGCTGAACTAAGCCTTTTTTTTAAGTTTTTTTTAAATATTTATTTATTTATACAAGAACTGGGGTACAAGTCAGAGGGTACAGGTGAGAGGCATGGGAGGGTGAGAAGATTCACCAGACACGGAATGGGGAGCAGAACAGGCAGACTGACCTAAACACACCACTGAGGGGAGCAGAGGGTGAGGCAGGAAAGGTCTGCTGCACCATGTGGGAATCTGGCCAGCCGGGGATCGAATCCGTGCTGCAGAGGCTCGAACCCATGCTGCAGAGGCTGCGGACAGCTTCACAGCGCGGTGCTCAACCTGCTGTGCCACCGGGGAGGCCCTAAACCTTTTTAGAAAAGGATTCAGAGTGAAGTGTTGGGATGAGCTTAATGCTCTCTACCATGCCCTCTCTCCCACTGTGTTGTGTATACACGTCCACATTGTCTCACTCCTGTATGGTAAGGTTTTTTTTTTAATGGACAGTAAGTTATTATTTAGGGGCTGTCAGGTGTTGTAATGCCCTCAGTGTTCTTGGTTCTTCTAAAGTTTGAACCTTAATCTTCAAAGTATTCCTTTCATAAGAGCTTTTGCACTTGTCTGTCCATAATACTCATTTCTGTTGGGATTCTTGATTCCACTTGAATTAACACATGCTGATGACACTTCACGAATTTCCCACCTACAATTGTTTGGGTCCAGTGTCTTCAAGCAGATTGCCTTAGGGTCACTCTCAGAGTCAGTAGAGGGATTTCCCTGCTTCTCAGGTTCATATGCCCTCAGAGCGTGAGTAAGAGTTTAGTCCCTCCTAAAGCATCCCAGCCTGTAGCAGCGCAGACCCTCGCTGTGTCAACCAACACCTTCCTGTCCAGACACCATTTGGGAGATGTAAGCGTAAAAATCAGCCATCTTTGTTTCATGTTTGCATCCAAGTTAAATGCAAATCAATACATCTGAGATTCCTGCACGCTTCTTCAGGGATCAGTTCTGCCGTGCTGCAGCCAGCCTTTACTGTTACCAGGTATCATGTTCCTTCTTACTGTATCAAAACTTATACTAGGAGAGTTTTGGTTTGCAGGAGAGAATTCATTCTTTGCACTTGTCTCAAAGTCTTTATCCACCACTGGTCCCTTCTTTTCCCTGACATTTCCTTCTGTCTGCCTGCGCCAGGAATTCTGGCGCTGTGCTTCTCAATGATGACCTTTTCAACATTCTCCTGCACAATTCCAAGTGTTTAGAGATTTTTTTTTTTTAAATCCCAGTATGGTTGATTTTTATGTTTTGTCTAATTATTTTTACATTTTATAAGGACTTTTCTATTAGGAAAAAGAAAAGAGATGATAATGCTTGCCCAGACACAAGCAGGTAGAAAGAGCTGCCCACGTTACATGGAAATGTATAATGTGATGACTATAAATATGTCTCCTTTGTGAAATAATTACAGTGATGTTAATTTTAACATCCATCACCTCAAAAGTTTCGCTAAGAATGTGTATGATCTATCTATTCTGAGTAAATTTCAAGTATGTAATACTTGAAATAGAATCACCAGGCTGTGTATTACATCATTTTTTTTTTTTTTTTATAGAGGCATGTTTATTTATTTATTTGTTTGTTTGTTTGTTTTTTGTTTATACATGCACTGGGTACAGTCAGAAGCGCGGGAGGGTGAGAGAATTCACCAGAGCCAGAGCGGGGAGCAGAGCAGGCAGAAGGACCGAAGTACACTGCTGAGGGGAGCAGCGGGCCGCAGGAGAGGTCTGCGCGCCATGTGGGACCCTCCTCCTGTGGCCGGGGAGCAGCCGGGGATTGAACCGGCGTCGCAGAGGCTGCGGGCAGCTTCGCAACCCAGCGCTCAACCGCTGCGCCACCAGGGAGGCCCTGTGTATTACATCTTAAGAACTTGTTCATCTTAGAACTGATTGATTGTACTGTTTCCTGTTTTTCATATTCCAGTCACAGTGTGCAAGGGCTCCCTTGTCTCCACACGCTCACCAATACTGTCTTCTCTGTACTTTGTGATGGTAGCCATCTTCCCAGGTGTGAGGTAGGGATCTCATTGTGGATTTTGATTTGCATTTTCCTGATGATTCGTGAGTTACAGCATATTTTTCATAACATTTCTTGGCCCTGTTTAGATGTCCTTGGGAAAAAGTCAAAATTCAGGTCTTTTGCCCATTTTTCAATCAGATTGTCCTTTTGTTGTTGAGCTATATGAAGACTTTGTACAGTTGCGATATTAACTCCGATGAGATATAGGTTAGCATTTTCCCCCCTTTCATTTTGTTGTTTGCTTCCTTTACTATGCAAAATCTCTTTAGTTTGACTGAGCCACTTGTGTTTATGTCTCTGTTTCTTGTGCTTTTGCTGTCTAATCCAGAATATTGCTAAAACCAATGTTAAAAAACTTTCTTCTTTTTTTCCTAAGGAGTTTTTATGCTTTCATGTCTTACATTTATGTCTTTAATTCAATTCTAGTTTATTTTTTAAGTGGTATTGGGTAGGTTAGCGTCCTTATTTCCTTTCTTTTTTTAGGCAAATGCATATCCAGTTTTCCCAACACCATTTGTCGAGGAAACTATCCCTTCTCCTTTATTAGTTCTTGGTGTCTGTGTCAAAGCATTTTTGACCATATATGCATGGGTTCAGTTGTGGACTCTAGTGTATTTCATGAACATGTTTGTGTGTGTGTATCCCATTACCATACTGTTCTAGTTACAATTGTTTTTGTAATGTGGTTTGAAATCAAGAAGTGTGATGCCTCTAACTTTGACTTTCCAGCTCAAGATTGCTGTGGCCATTGGAAGTCTTTGGTGGTTGAAATTTTAGGATTCTTCTATTTTTGATAAAAATGCTATTGGATTTTGCATTAAATCTGTAGGTTGCTGTGGGTAATAGAGATATGTTAATAGTAATGTTTCCATTCAAAGAACAAAGATTATCTTATTTTTGTGTGTCTTTACTTTCTTTCATCCGAGTCTTACAGTTTTCAGTGTACAGGTCTTTAACTTCCTGGTAGCAAGCATATGCCTAATTATTTTACTATTTTTTTTTTTATTTTTATTATTATTTATTTATTTATTTATTATTTGTTTGTTTGTTTTATACATGCACTGGGTACAGTCAGAAGCGTGGGAGGGTGAGAGAATTCAACAGAGCCAGAGCGGGGAGCAGAGCAGGCAGAAGGACCGAAGTACACTGCTGAGGGGAGCAGCGGGCGGCAGGAGAGGTCTGCTCACCATGTGGGACCCTCCTCCGGTGGCCGGGGAGCAGCCGGGGATCGAACCGGCTGCAGAGGCTGCAGGCAGCTTCGCAACCCAGCGCTCAACCGCTGCGCCACCGGGGAGGCCCCTATTTTACTATTTTTAATGCTGTTGCAGATGGGATTGAATTTAATTTCCTACTGAGATACTTCACTGTTATTATTTAGATACAGCTGATTAGCTGAACCTTGGTTTGTATCCTACGGCGTTACTGATTTCACTTGTTCATTCTGACAGATTTTTGGTAGAGTTCATAGGGATGTTTTACATGTTATTCCTAAACAATTCTACTTTATTCTAATTAAGTTTTTTTTTTTTTTCCTTATACTCTGGCTAGGGTTTAATGTATTGAATAGAAATGGGGAGAGAGGGCATTCTTGCTTTGTTCCTGATCTTAGAGGAAAAACTTTTACCTTTTCATTGTGGAATATGCTCGTAGTTTACGTGTGACCTTTTTGGTAATGAGGTATGTTTCTTCTATGTCTCCTTTTTTGAGAGTTTTTATCGGGAAAGTGTTTTGAATCTTGCCAAGTGCTTTTTCTATCTCTATTGAGATAATCAAGACTTATTGGTCACAAGTCTGAGAACATCGTGTATCCCATTTACAGTCATGTGTTACAGAGAGCAACAGTTTGTTCTGGGAATGTGTCGGGCAGGTTGCTTATGGAGTGAACACACCTTGTGCGGCTACACAAACCTAGCTCATTGCTCGTCCAGGCTGTGTGGGGTGAAGTGCAGTCCCAGATGGACCGGAAGGTCCTGCAGCCATTTGCCTTTGATGAACCTCCTTGCATCCCAGACCAGTCCCACTTGGCCCCAGTTGATGGTTTCTGACATGAGCTGCTGGATTTGATTGGCTAGTGCTTTGTTGGTTTCCTTTACGTCCGTGTTCATCAGGGATGTTGACCAGTCATTTTCTTGTTGTGTCTTTGTGTCGTTTTGGTACCAGGTTAATGCTGCTTCTGAAAATGTGTTTAAATGTTTCCTTCCTCTATAAGTTTTTCTAAGAGAATCAGTGTTGATCCTTCTTAAGTGTTGGTAGAATTCAGTGGTATAGCTGTCTGATCGTGGCGTTTTCTTTGTGGGATACTCGTTCATAAAGCATTAAAAACTAAGTTCTGGAAGTGGTCTGGCACCTCTTCAGGCACCTGTGGAACAGGTGTGGATCTGTGTTCTGCGAATCGATGCAGAGCACAGCAGTGCTGGGACACAGGACCCTAAATGACCTGCAGTGGCACTGATTTTGTGGAATGGATTTCACCATGATGCCCATGCTGAGTGGTGATGTAGCTGGTGTCCAAGCACAGGAAGAATGTGTCCCCGGGTCTGAGGAGTTGGCTGCTCCCATGACAGCTGTGGAGATAGGAGCAGCAGTGTGGCACACACATAGTTGCAGATCTGGGGCCCAGGTTGTGTGCCCTATTATGGGTGTGGCCACCCTGTTCTATAAACAGTAAAAGTTCCTTCTTTGGGGGAGGTGACTTAGTGTGTTACCCCAATGATTGATGGTTACCTAGTGTAGAAGTTGCCAGTGTCTTCTGCGGAGTACAAGGCTGGAGTCCACGCCTGTAAAAATTCTGTCTCCTCTGCTGGGCAGACTCTGGGTGTCTGCGCCTATCACGGGGCCTGATGAGGTTTCCCAGGCAACGGCAGTGGGGGTCCTCCGTTCAGCTGTCTGCCCTTGACTGATAAGTGTGGTGTCCTATCCATCCGTACTCTCTGCGTGTCTTCACTGAGCTGATGTCCCCTGTGATGCTTTTCTGAGTTATTTTGTTTTGTTTTTTTTTTTAAAGATTTATTTTTAGTTATTTATGCATACAAGAACTGGGGTGCAGGCCAGAGGTGCGGGGGAGGGGGTGAGAGGATTTACCAGAGACAGAGTAGAGAGCAGACCAGGCAGCTCCACTGAAATCCACTGCTGAGGGGAGCAGTGGGGAAACAGGAGAGGTCTGCTGCGCCCTGTGGGTCAGTTCCCTGGCTGGGGATCAAACTGAGGCCACAGTGGTTATAGCGCTGAGACTTAACCCCTTGCTCCACCAGGGAGACCTAAGCTTATTCTTATTTTGTCTTCCACTCTGTTCCTGTAGCATCTTTATTGGAGTCCTTTGCAAACCGTCCCCCCTCCCCCCAACATAGGCCAGATCTGTTGGTGGCCAGCTGTAATGCTCCTTGTCTCCATCACTGTGCTGACATCGCTCACCTAGATCTCTTCTCTTGTGTGCTGAGTTGCTCTGGGTCGCTACCAGCCGATCACTTTTCTGTTTTTCCCTTAGTGCTTATATCTCCCAGGACCAGTGTCGTTGCTGAATTAGGGCTGAGTTGGGAGAGTCCTCTGTGTATCAGAAGATGCGTGCCCCTCCAGCAGTGGCGAGGGGACAGAGGCCCTGGGCCTGGAGGGTGGCAGCGGGGTGGTGTGAAGGGCTGCGTCTTAGTCATGTCTGGAACCTGCCTTGGTTTAGCCGTTGTTTCGTTGCCATGAGCCACACTTAGTTTCTGCCTTTTCTCCCTACGGTTTTGTTTTGCAAACTTTTCAGTTCTGCTACTCATTTCTGCTGTGGCTACCAGCCCAGGGGTCATTCCCACCTGTCTGGACTGCACCCCTCACCCATTCTTCTCACTGCCCTGTCTGTCCTGCACACACTCGCACACATCACATGAGCTGTTACACGTGAATATTAATAGCCTTGGGCGCACACTTCTACACACCCTCACCGGAACAGTAAGAAAGATTTTGCAAAAAGCCATTGGCAGAAGTAAGTTGCAGACCTCATCTTGCTGTCCTTCCCCTGGTGAAGTTGGCACCATTCTGTGACCTTCAGAACCCGGTAATGGGCCTTCCTGGTGGCGCAGCGGTGGAGCGCTGGGTTGCGAAGCTGCCCGCAGCCTCTGCAGCGCCGGTTTGATCCCCGGCTCCTCCCCGGCCACCAAGCAAGGGTCCTACATGGCGCGCAGACCTCTCCTGCCGCCCGCTGCTCCCCTCAGCAGTGTCCTTCGGTCCTTCTGCCTGCTCTGCTCCCCGCTCTGGCTCTAGTGGATTCTCTCACCCTCCCGCGCTTTTGACTGTACCCAGTGCTTGTATAAATAAATAAATAAATCTTTAAATAAATAAATAAATAAATGGGGGGGGGAGCCGGTAATGCACAGCAGAGGGCCCCTCCTGCAGTTTCCCTACTCTTGAACATCATCCCAAGGACTCGTGTCTAGATGAGACGGATGCACCTTCATGACGCGTCTGTTCTCTTTTTAGTAAACTTGTACTTTACTGGTGTTTCTTTGTCCAGGTTGCTGCTGCGGAGCAGAGGCTGCAGAGGCACATTTGAAACCAGACATTTCTGTACGTGAGTCACGGGCCAGGACTCCCCAGCCAGCTCTGTCTCCCCAGAAGACCCACCCCTGTGAGATGTGTAGTCCAGTTTTGAAAGACGTTTTCCACTTGGCTGAGCACCAGGGAGCACAGCTCAGCCAGAGGCTGTTGAGGTGTGGGGCGTGTGCAACAAGCTTTTATTTCAGTGCAAACCTTCAGCAGCAGCAGAAGCCGCACATGGAAGAGAGACCTTTCAGAGGCAGCGAGGGCACAGCCTCGTTTGCCAGGAGCTTCACTCTCCATGTGTCAGGAAAGCCCGGCACTGGACCGGAAGCGGGGAGGGGCTTGCTGGTGCCCACAGGACACCTCCAGCAGAAGAGTGCTGTGACCGGGGACCTGCCCAGCAGGGCCTCCCTGTGCCGGACAGCATTACAGAGCAGGAAGGGTCACGACACCTGGGGGGCACACACCAAAGGCTCTCGTCCCAAACACACTCTTGTTCAGGCCCAGGACGTCCACGCAGGAAGGCAGAGTTTCGTGTGCAGTGAATGTGGGAAAACATTCAGGTACAAATCCTCCTTTGTCGCGCACCAGCGGCTCCACACTGGAAAAAGTCTCCAAGAGTGTCCTGAGTGCGGCAAGTCCTTTAAGCGGAGCTCCACCCTCAGTAAACATCAAAGAATGCACGCGGGGGAAAGGCAGCACACGTGCAGCCGCTGTGGGAGAGCCCTGAGCTGGCGGTCTGTGCTCTTTTGCTCCCCGCGATGGCACAGTGGGGTGAACAGCTTGGTGTGCGGGGACTGTGCAGAGTCTCTCCCCTGTAACTCAGTGTGCATTCGCTACAGGAGAGTACAAGCCAGAGAAAAACCTTACCAGTGCAGTGTCTGTGTAAAGTCTTTCACCTCTATTTCTGCCCTGGCGTATCATCAGAGATCTCACACGGGAGAGCGGCCTTACGAGTGCAGCGAGTGTGGGAAGGCGTTCATCTCCAAGCCTGACCTCCGTTACCATCAGAGAGTCCATGCTGGGGAGCGGCCTTTTGCGTGCAGCGAGTGTGGCAAGTCTTTCATCACTCGCACTGCTCTCCGCTACCATCACCGAGTGCACACCGGGGAGAGGCCGTACAAGTGTGCCGAGTGCGGGAAGTCCTTCACCCGGAGAAATAACCTCATCATCCACGTGAGAGTCCATTCAGGAGAACGGCCTTTTGAGTGCAGCGAATGTGGGAAGTCTTTCACTTTCAGTTCCAGCCTCCGTTATCATCAGAGAGTCCACACGGGGGAGAGGCCGTATGAGTGCAGTGAGTGCGGGAAGTCTTTCAACAACAGGTGGACCCTCATTCGACACCGGAGAATCCACACTGGAGAGAAGCCTTACGTGTGCAATAAATGTGGCAAGTCCTTCACCTGCAGCTCCACCCTCCAGTACCATCAGCGAGGGCACCTGGGGGAAAGGCCTTACGAGTGCGGTGAATGTGGCAGATCTTTTACGACGAGCTCTGCCCTCCGTTACCATCAGAGCGTCCACTCCGGAGAAAGGCCTCATGAGTGCAGCGAATGTGGGAAGTCCTTTATCTCGAGGTCTGACCTCCGCTACCATCAGAAAGTTCATTCTGGAGAAAGGCCTTACGAATGCAGCGAATGTGGGAAATCCTTTATCCGAAGAAATAACCTTATTCTACATCAGAGGGTTCACACAGGAGAAAGACCTTACAAGTGTAGTGAATGTGGGAAGTCTTTTAACAATAAGTGGACGCTCATTCAACACCAGAGGGTTCACACAGGAGAGAAGCCTTATGTGTGCGGCGAGTGCGGGAAATCTTTCACCTGCAGCTCTACCCTCTGCTACCATCAGAGAGTTCATGAAGGAAAGAGGCCGTACGAGTGCAGCGAATGTGGGAAATCATTCACTTCTAGTTCCACCCTTCGTTACCATCAGAGAGCTCACACAGGAGAAAGGCCTTACGAATGCGGTGTGTGCGGGAAGTCTTTCACCTTCAGTGCCAGCCTCCGATACCATCACAGAGTTCACACCGGAGAAAGGCCTTATGAATGCAGTGAGTGTGGGAAAACCTTTAAGGATAAATCCCAGTTCAATAAGCACCGGCGCGGTCACACTGGAGAAAGGCCTTACGAGTGTAGCGAATGCGGGAAGTCGTTTATTCACAAATCTTCCCTCTCGATACACCAGAAAATTCACAACAGAGACAGGTCTTACGAATGTAGGGCCTGTGGGAAATGCTTTACCTCTCTCTCCGGTCTTGGTTATCATCAGCGGGTTCACAAAGGAATAAAGCCTTATCAGTGCAGTGAGTGTGGGAAATCTTTTACCAATAGTTCAATACTGATCCGACACCAGAGAGTTCACACGGGAGAAAGGCCTTATGTGTGTAGTGAGTGTGGGAAGTCTTTCACCAGCAGTGCGACCCTGTCTTACCATCAGAGAGTTCATGCGGGAAAAAGGCCTTACGAGTGCAGTGAATGTGGGAAATCTTTTACCTCTAGTTCCACCCTCCGTTACCATCAAAGAGTTCACTCGGGAGACAGGCCTTTTGAGTGCAGTGAGTGTGGAAAATCTTTCATCACTAGCTCCAAACTCCGTTACCATCAGAGGGTTCACACAGGAGAAAGGCCTTACGCGTGCAGCGAATGTGGGAAGTCTTTTAGGGATAGTTCCCAATTCAGTCAGCACCGGAGAGGTCACACTGGAGTAAGGCCTTATGAGTGCAGTGACTGTGGAAAGTTTTTCATGCGAAAATCTACCCTCTCTCAACACCAGAGAGTTCACACTAGAGAAAAATCTTAGGCGTACGGTTTCATTGGTGCTGGCGCGAACTGAGGAGCCACCTGTCGGGATGCAGTCACGTACATCTGGATGTGCTCCGGGCATCAGTGCCCATGTTTGAGTGACATGGTAAGCACATGTGTGACTGCTGGAATTTTTAATGTGCCAGGGCTGTATGAGAATTTTGCCACTGATTCCGATGGTCAGAGCCACTGCAGCCCTGTCACCTGGGAGGGCCACACAGCCAGTCACTACCCAGGGCGCTCAGGGAAGCTGGCTTTTCCCCCATGTGTTGGCGGTGAGTAACCTGAGTGCTGGGAGGGCCAGCTGTCCCTCCTGCTGCTTCGGACATGGACCTGAGTCGACGTTGACCCACAGAATCCTGCATTCAGCTGGCAGCATGCAGCGCGTGACTCCCTCTTTTAGTGACGTGCTGTTCTCGTGGCGTACTTGCGACCAATTTTCCCAGCTTCCCAATCACCAAGTTGAGCACTGCCTGCACACATTGCTGTGGTGTGTACAATAATTGGGTTTCTGAATCAGCCTTGGGTTTCTGTTTATTCTGTAGTTTTTAAGCAGATTTGGGTCACAAAAGCATGAAAATATGACTTTTTAGGGGTCTCAGGTGTACCCGAGAAGGAACAGTATGATGGCAGAAAATGACCTGTGAGCTTTGACCACATTCACATTGTTGCCCACGGGCTCCTAGAAAACACAGCGGGGTTTTCTCATCCTTACGTGAAGCCTGGGTGCTTCCTATTTTAGGAGTCACAAATGACGCTCTGAAGGGGCAGGCGTGAGAACTTTAGGTGCTTTTTTTTTTTTTTTTTTTTAAAGATTTATTTATTTATTTATACAAGCACTAGGTACAGTCAGAAGTGCGGGAGGGAGACAGAATTCACCAGAGCCAGAGCGGGGAGCAGAGCAGGCAGAAGGACCGAAGTACACTGCTGAGGGGAGCAGCGGGCGGCAGGAGAGGTCTGCGGGCCATGCGGGACCCTCCTCCAGTGGCTGGGGAGCAGCCGGGGATCGAACCAGCACTGCAGAGGCTGTGGGCAGCTTCGCAACCCAGCGCTCAACCGCTGCACCACCGGGGAGGCCCTTAGGTGCTTTTGAAAGCTGCATGCTTCCTGCCCTATTCCCCCACCTATTCTTGAGGAGATGGCACATTACAACACGCTGCTGAGGTGGTGGGAGCACAGGATTCCATATACTTTGAACCCCCGTGGGCCCTGGTACCTAAGATGCCTAGTTTAGGAACACTGGTTTTAAGACTGAGTGGTTGGCAGAAAAGCATCTTGTCCGGAAACACTGGATTACAGGGAGTAGTGCGGCTCGTGGCCAACTTGATCGAATATGCATCTTCTAAAAAGTGCATCCAGAAATGTTCTGGGACTGTGCAGTATCTGTTTGTACCAAAAACTCAGGATCTCCAGGCCAGTTTTTCTTGTGTACTGAAGTCATTGCCAGAAAACAGTAAAAATAACCAAAAGATTTTGAAGGCAACCATTGCTTCTCAGTGTGGTTCACCTCAAGGCCGCCCCTGCGCAGGCAGGAGAGAATGGAGGCCACAGGTGAGGCTTTTGTGACTCAGGCCTGCTCACCTTACTGGTCCCCATCACAGAATACCCCCACCCCCAAAAAAAGTCTTAAAGGAGATGGAGTCCATGTAGATTGCCAGCCCAGTTTTCTGAAAAGTGGTACACAGATCTTTTTAAAATCTTGAGCCATTCTTTAAAGCTGTTAAGGTAAAATTGACATGTAATAAATCGCACAATTAAATATGTGCTAAGTTTTGACTTGGGTATAAACCTCTGAATCTATTCGTGATGAAGACTATCTTTTATGATCTATTTATGTCATGTCCTACTACTATCTGCTATTCTCACCTCTTCATGTAAGCACTGATTTGCTTAAATTAGCTGCATTCTCTTGGATGCATATGATTGGAATCATAAGCTGTGTACTGTCATTTTTTCCATGTACGTGTCATATTTTTAAGCTATGTCAATTATGAGTAGCTGCTTTTTTTTTTTTTTGGTGGGACCCTCACTGGCAGCGGTGTTGTAGAGGCTGCGGGCAGCCTCATAGCCCAGCGCTCAACCGCTGCACCACCAGGGGAGGCCCTTCAGCAGCTTCTTTGGGAAGGAGCACTGAGTAATTTTTTCGATAAATCACAATTCATCCATTTATCTGTTTATGGGTGTTTATTTCTTGGTTTTTAGTACTGAGATTAAAGCTGGTGTAACGTTAGTGTTATTTACATGAATCCTTTCTCAATAATAGAGTGTAATGTCTGAATCAGTGTAGGAGAGTGTTTATTTTGAAGAAAATTAACAAATTGTGGTCTAAAATTGTACTTTGTGCATCTTTACCAGCAGTGTATGAGAGTTCCATTTCCTCCACATTTAAGTACGTGGTTTAGTCAGTTGTTTACAATAAGTTTTAATGTTACCTCAGTTTAATTGCTTTCCTGTAAGAATTCATGGTGAGCATTTGTTTAGATGTTCATTTGCTTTCATTTCTTTGCTGAAATATCTACTCATCTTTTTCCTGTTTGTTGAACTTTGGCTGTTTTCCTTCAAGAAATGGAAAAACACAGGTTGGAATTTCATTCTTCGAAACATGACTGACTGCATTATGCTATTACTTTTTGTGCTGAAAGAATTTTCTATTTTTTGTGTAATATGCATGGTGGAATGAACACTTAATGCCATACCCTAACTTTATTATTTTTTAAAGATTTATTTTATTTATGCATGCAAGAGCTGGGGTACAGGCCAGAGATGCAGGGGGTGAGAGGAGTCACTAAAGACAGAGTGGGGAACAGAACAGGCAGACTGACTAAAACACTGCTGAGGGGAGCATCGGGGAGACAGGAGAGGTCTGCTGCGCCATGTGGGTTGCTCCCTTGCCGGAAGCCAGCTCCGGCAAAATGTCGTGTCAGGGTCCCTGCAGGACTAGACGTCGTAGACGAATCTGAGGGGGTGAGGGAATGAGGAGACACTTGATCAGGGTGCAAGTATCCTGCCAAGGGTCTCAGCAGCTCTTTCTTTTTTTTTTTTCTTTTTAATAGAGGCATGTTTTATTTATTTATTTGTTTGTTTTTGTTTATACATGCACTGGGTACAGTCAGAAGCGCAGGAGGGTGAGAGAATCCACCAGAGCCAGAGCGGGGAGCAGAGCAGGCAGAAGGACCGAAGCACACTGCTGAGGGGAGCAGCGGGCGGCAGGAGAGGTCTGCGCGCCTTGTGGGACCCTCCTCCGGTGGCCGGGGAGCAGCCGGGGATCGAACCGGCGCCACAGAGGCTGCGGGCAGCTTCGCAACCCAGCGCTCAACCGCTGCGCCACCGGGGAGGCCCTCAGCAGCTCTTTGTTTATACATCTGGAGCAAGCCGTGGGAGAACATAAGTGAGTGCTTTCAAGTATAAAAAAAACCTAACAATCATGACACCTTTTCAAAACCAGCCTGGGGACCTCTGACCCCTGCTGAGGTAATAACAGCTATTTCACTTGGTTCTCAAGGTAAATACAGTTACCACACGAAATGTCCCCTAACACTCATTTTTTTCACTGCCCAGTCATCATTCTGATAATGCTAAAAACAGCAAAACAACAAAAAACTTACATGACTAAAACTTAACTCCTTTATAACTGCTAAATTACTAATAAATCAAAATTTATAAAATGCCTAAATCTTAAACATTTAAAAACATAATTACCTTATATATTGGTAATCAAATCCAATTACTGCTAAAATCAGAAACTTTTTATTCCTATAACTAATCTAATTTAATAAAAGTAGTCAAGAATCAAAAAACCCAAGGAATCCCAGGGCCGCATAAGTTGCACTGACCTTTTTCTAACCCCAAGCTTCAAAAGAAAAAAGAAAACTCCTTTTGCTTTTTCTCAAGGCCATATTTTTACCTATTCTTTAATTATCTTTTGTCAACTAACTGCTATCTCTAACTTTACAGCTTCTCTCCAGATGGTCTCTGCTTTAAAATACGACAAATCTATAACAAAGGCTTGGCGGGGAATGTTCACAGCCTTTAGTTCCCAGAAGTTTTTAGGTGTGATATATCACTTGTTTTTGTAAAACCAAATGTTGAATCACTGCCTTTAAAGCAGAGAATTATTAATCCTTTCAAAATGTATTATTTGTATCTCGCAGTGCCATTGCTGTCAAATTAGTTATTTAGTAACTGATCACTCAACATTTGCAGTTTTGCTATTAAATGCGTATTTTAACAATTGCCATATATGGTAGAAGCCAGCCATAAACAAATGAGAAGAATCTAGTAGGAGTCCTGACTTTTCAGGAATCTGCCCCATGCCCAGGCCTTTGTCAGAAGACAAGAGTAGCATGGCTCCTCGTGTCACTGCTGCAGAGGTTGCTATTGCTTCATGGAGCGCTGCTTAACCCCTTGCGCCACCAGAGAGGCCCTGCCTTACCCTCACTTTAATCTGCATTATTAACATTCTGTATCACATTCTTCTGTACAGTGGTGCCTTGTTTTGTAGTAGCATCTTCCTGGTGTTTCACCGTGACAGTTGGTGGGTTAGAACAGATTGGGGACAAGACTGCATCAGAATGGGATGAGCCACCTGACTCCTGGCGGGCAGGGGGTAAAGAAGTCATTGGTCAGACATCCTAAGTCCTGATCTAGGTTCCTGAGTTTAAATCCCAAATCCCTGACAAATGCAAGAATCCACAAGCAAATTACCTTCCACCAACCCCTTCACCTTACTTTCCAGCATAAAATGGGGATAAAGAAGGGCCTTGTTCCTGGTTCGCTGGAAGATGTGAAGTGCTGAGGTGTCTCTACCTGTGAGCCACAATTTGCAGGGGACATCCAGGAGATGGGCACCTTTACTCCCCCTGATATTCTTAATTCCTGTGTCCCCCAGTGTGTGTCCCAAAATTGAGGCTTTTCAGAATCTTGTGATCTGCGTTGCTACCCACAGACCAAGTCCCCAAGGAGCAAAGGGCTGCAAGGTACTAAAGTTTATGTGTTAGTTACCCGCTGTGGAATATCTAGGCACCTTGGTCACATTTGCTGCCTCTGATGTGGAGATGATGGTGGTATGTACCACAGTCCCTGGGAAAACTGATGAACAGAACACTGAGCACCTACCCAAGTCAGGATTTTATTTTAGTTTGCATGTGAAATCAAAATTTTTATATGAAATACTTCCATAACTCCAGTTTTCATTTGTCTTCCCAGCTTAACTCAAATTTACTGCTATTTTTGTTACTATCTTATTTGCTATTGCAACATTATATTTTTAAGGATTTTATTTATTTATGCACACAAGAACTGGGGTGTAGACCAGAGATGTGGGGTGGTGAGAGGATTCACCAGAGTGGGGAGCAGAACAGGCAGGTGTACTGAAATTCACTGTTGAGGGGAGAGGCGGGGAGACAGGAGAGGTCTGCTGAGCCATGTGGGTAGCTCCCTGGCCAAGATCAAGCTAGTGCTGCAGTGGTTTGTTAACTGAGACTGACCCCCTGCGCCACCAGAGAGGCCCAAAGCAACATTCTAACATGAAATATTACTAAATTCATGTTTTTTGATGTTACAGCTTGTTTTCTCCTCTGAATGCCTATCACTGAAACTGAGAGCACACTCATCAATTGGTGGGTTATCTCAAAAGTATTAATGATTCCTTTTCAAATGTACTGAGATAACTTTTTACTTACACGTAACTACTGAATTAATTTTCTTCAAAACCACTGTAATGCATTTCTATTCATGATGCTGAAAGACAATGACCAAAACTGTTAGGGTATGGTATATTATGATACCAGATGCTCTTCATATAATATTTTGATTCAGTAAGACATTCCCACACTTCCCAAAATCCAATGTGATTTACTTATTTCAAAATTAACTTAAAATAAAGAAAAAAATTTAACTTATTTACTATGATGTATACAGCAGAAAAGTAATTGGAATAACAAGTAGCATGTGCATTTCAGTGAATGCAGTGGGGAGCTTTCTAACTTTAGGTTTGTTAAAAATTCCAGTTCAGTGAAACATGGTGGATCAATGTACAATTGATTAAGTAGTAAATATTATATAGTTATATGTGTTCTATACTATGTTTTTGAAATATTTCAAGAGGGACCTCCTTGGTGGTGCAAGGGGTTAAGACGCAACCTGTGAAGCTGTCCGCAGCCACGGCAGCACGAGTTCGCTCCCCGCCAGGGAGCTTCCCACATGGCGCAGCAGACCTCTCCTAATGTGCCCGCTGCTCCCCTCAGCAGTGGATTTCAGTCAATCTCTGTCTCAGGTGAATCCTCTCATTCCCCACACCTCTGGCCTGTACCCCAGTTCTTGGATGTATAAATAAATCTTTTTTAAAAAAGGTATTTAAAGATTCTCAGTACACTCACTGGTTAGAGGCGAAATTTTAAATAATGAAGTTATCACTGATATTTATATTGGAGTTAAAACTACTAAAAATTTCCCCAATATGTAATGGCTCATATGAATACAGAAAATAATATACATCATTCCTTTGTACATTATGCATTTTTATTTTTGTGCTTATTTAATTTAAAAAATTGTCATATTTTGCTGATATATTTAAAAAAAAGCCAAAAGAATATTTTGTGGCTTTAGGGTCTTGTAATGACTTGCACACCTAAGTTTATTAAATTTTTTTTTATAAACTGATATTTAGATGAGGTTGAGGAGGGGCTTGCTTGAATTTTCTATTGGACATGAAATATAAATTGAGATTTTTTTATCTAAATTGCAATTCATCTTAATATTTTATTGCAATAAGTATAAAATTTATTATCTGTACAAACTGGTACGTTTAGTACATAGTCATGTAGATGTCAGCTGTGTTCCCAGGCAGTCTACTGTGCACAATAAATCCAATATTGTTTTTTATCTTCCAGAATAAACTGCTGGATAAATGTTTAATAAACTTACATTTATTACCCTTTAAAGTACATTTCATATTAACGTTTTGTTTTAAATACATGAAGTGGATTGTTATGTATCTTATATTGAAAAAAAGTTTTGTTTTGAACTAATCTTTGCAATTTCTGAAGCTTTTAGATTTCATTCAAGTATGTCACTTGATTTCCAAGTTTCAAGACATTTTGTAGTGATTTTCAAAGAGGAGGTTTCTTACAAAATCATTATTTTTAACTTTCATTGCGAAACCGAAGGTTTCCAGCTCGATCTCCCCTCATCTCTGCTCTCCTCGGTACCGATTCCTGGAAGCTCCTCCGCGGGCGTGGAGTAGCCTCGGCGGGGGGTCTCCGGGGCTCCCCATGCCAGAGCTTGGGGACAGTCAGTGAGGGAGCGCGACGCCCGCCGCTTACTTGGGGGTGCGGCGTGCGCCTCTGCCCTCGGAAAGAGCGGCCGCGGCCTCGAGGCTCATGGCCGGGGCGCGCAGAGCCCTGGGCTCCGCCCCGCCAGGGCTAGCGCTCAGGAGTTAAAACCCCAGTGTGGGCTGAGTGGAGCCGGAGACCCGACGGGGTAAACGACAGCGTTGCCTTGGGAACGGGCACCGTCGGGAGGGGCAGCCCCGGGAATTCCAGGAGTGTCGCCCCACCCCCAAACCTGATACCCCAGCAGAGACTGACCCACCAAATAAAATAGGCCTTGAAAGGGAGCCCCAAGTCCTCTGGGCGGGGTCTCCTGAGGTCCCGGCCCAGGCCGCGCCCCCTGTCGCGGCTGCGCCCCCGGCCCCGGGGTGACCTGACGGGAGCAGCGGTGAGACAGGCGAGGTCTGCTGGGCCGTGCGGGTCGCTCCCGGCCGGGGCCTGTGTCAGTCAGGAAGGAGGCTGGGGCCGCAGGCTCAGGTTGGCAGGTTGCGGGGGCGCGGACACCCGGCTGGCTGGCCGGCCCAGATTTTCCATTTTAAAACCACAATTTCGATCCCCCTGCTGCTGTTCCTGCTTCTGACCCCCTCAGTTGCCAGACGAGTCGCTCCCAAATGGCCTACGCGAGAGCAGCCCCTCGAGCAGCTGTTTGTGAGGAGCCCCTCGCAGGCGTCACGCGGTGCCCCAGGCAGCCTGGGGTCTAAGGAAATGTGGGCGACCCCCGCGGCGGGGTGTCACTCAGCCTTGAAAGGAAAGAAAACGCTGCGCGGACGCGGAAGAGTCGTGAAAGCTCGTCAGGGGGCATGAATGCACAGGAGGCGCCAACTCGATCGCGCCGGTACCGGCGTTCGTGGCGCCGAGCGGCCCGTGGCAGCCGTGGGCTTCCGGGCTCGGCGCCCCGTCCCGCGGTCAGTTCGTGAGTGACCGACGCCCTCGGGCACGCGCGTCTTCTCAGCGCGCCCCACGGACGCCCCTGACTCGGAAGCTCGAGGTGAGGCCACCACGAAGCGGAGGCCTCGGGAACGCGCTTCTCCGCGGTGTCCCTGAAGCGAGACGCGCGCCAGGGTCGGGACCGCCTCGGAGGCCGCGCTGGCGGGCCGACCCCACGGGCGCCGCCGGGGCCTTCTCGGACGTTGCTCTCCCTCAGGCTTCCGCCCTCGCGCCGCCGGCCCAGATCCGCGTCCTGTCCCGGTGGAGGCGGACCGTTCCCGGCGGCGTCCTCCGGCGTCTCCACCGAGTCCCGCGCGTGGACGCGCGGCTCCGTCGGCTGGTGCCTTCCCTCCGGCACGCGCCAGCGAGCGCCTGCTTTCCTCCCTCGCCGCGGCTGACCGCCGAGCCCGAGGCGAGACCCTTTCCGCGGCGGGCGGAGCCGGGGAACTACATTACCCAGAGCGCACTGCGCCGGGGCGGCTCCGCCAATGAGCGGCAAGGGGGCGTGTTCACCGACGTGCGGGGCGGGACTTCCGGCGTCCTGCTCGTGGCGGTCATTTTGGCTTCTCCGGTGGGGGCTGGCCGCGGCTGGGCCGAGCGGGCCGAGAAGCGCGTCCCCCCGCCCGGGACCCCCGCCCGCCGCGCCCCGCACGGTCCGATGGCGGCGGCCGCGCCGATGGCCCCGGCTGAGGTACGGGCGCGGCGTCCGCCCCCCGTGCGGCGGCGTCAGGATCGGGGCGGGGGGCGGAGGGGCCCCCCGGGGGACGGGCGGGTCGGGACGGGGCCTCGGGGCGGCTCTCTGTCGGCCGGCGCCGGGCGGCCTGAGCCCGGAACGTGCGGGAAACGGGTCCGTCGTGGTCCTCGCGGCCTGGAGAGGCGCGGCGGGCCCGGGGGAGGCGGGGCGCGGGCCTGCGGGGCCGGGGAGCCGGGTGGGGGGAACGAAGACGACGCCGTCGGCGCGAGACCCCGCGCGGCCGGACGGCCTGAGAGCGCCCGACAGGGACGGCCGGGGAGGACGGTGCGCCCGAGTGGAGCCCCCGCCAGGTGGCAGCGCCCCCCGGGCTCTGCGGACGGAGGCGCGGACTCGGTCCCCAGGCCCAGGGCCGCGGCTCCCGCCCGGGCGTGCTCGCGGGCCTGGCTCTGCGGCCCTCCGCGTCCGCGGGCTCCGGCGCTGGAGGCGCAGGGACCCCGCACGCGGCGGCGAGGGGCGCCCGGGTTGCAGCGCCGCGCAGGGGGGCTCACCGCCGTGGCTCCCACGACTGCTGGTCTCCGCGGTTGTGGCGCAAGTTCGGATGCCGCTGCCTTGTTGTTCGCCCTTGAGAAGGCCCCGGAGACGGTTGCTTGTCGTGATAGCGGGGAGAAGGACGCCGGGGCTGATGCGTGGCTTGGCGGAGCCGAAGGGGCGGGTGCGCCCGCAGCGGTGCGGCTCGTGGGCGGGTTGAGTTTTCCTGTCACCCTCTGACGGCGTTTCTGCCTTGCTAAGCCCCTGGCGCTTTCAGAGCGCAGTGGGTCGGGCCGTCGAGTGGGTCGGGCCGTCGAGTGGGCCGCGGTGGCGCAACCTGGAAATCAGGGAGGGATGAGGCTGTAGGATTCAAAAGGCGCTAGCCCTTGTGTGGGCCGTGTGGCGCTGTGGGTCACATTTTGGGGTGGAAGGAAGGCTCTAGTGGGAAGGTTGACTGTTGGCCCCAGAGACTGGGCTTTAGGCCCAAGCGTGGCTGTCCGCTGGGGCACCTGGCTGAGAGACGCCTCTGTAGAGTGCTGGGGACAGGGTGATCTGGCAGGTGGCCACGGCTCCCCTGGGCAGAGCGCACGCAAGGTGGTCGGGAGAGACCGGTAAGGATGCAGGTTCCCTGAGGGAGAGGTGCTCCAGCTAACCAACCACCTGACCCATCAGACTGAGTGGGGAGAGTGGTGGGTGTTTCCATCTTGCTGGTGGGAAAAGATTTGGATACAATGTAGCCAATTACAAAAGTCTCTCATTTCTGGGAGTTACTCTGTCAACATGGGGTATGAACAAAGGTAGTGAGCATGGCAGGGCAGAAGGGGAGGAGAGTCATGGCCTGGGAAAGTCTCCTGTGCTTCAGGGAAGCTAATGATGAGGCAGACACGGAGCCTGGTGGGTGCCTTCCACGTGGCACTGGCAGTGGTGTCCCTCAGAGCACTGAGTTTGTACTGGATCTATTTGAATTTGTCCACGCTCTCTGGATCCTCTGAACAAGGCTGAGTCCAACTGTGCTACAGGGAAGGGAGATGGCAGAGCTGTGCGAGTCAGCTGTGGGGACTGAAGTCACTAGAGCCGTGGAGAGCTGATGGATGGGGAAAGTTAGAGTGAAAAAGGAGCCCGCTTGGGGCTGCATATTTGAGGTACAGGTGAGAGGTTCCAGCAAAATTGCTTGGTGGAAGGAATGGAACCCTCGGCCAGGCCCAGAGCTTGGATGGCATCTGCGTGTCCCCCTGGCCTGTTACTGCTGAGGTTTGAACCCAGCGATACCAATGAGACCCTGAGGACAGACTGAGACTTATGGCACCAGGACCTTGTACCTTCTCAGAGACGGAAGCTCTGGGAGAGCGTGTGTGAGGAGATGGATTGTGATTGCTCAGCAAGTTCATGTTTTCACCTGTCCCCACCTTGACAGGACAGTGTAACCTTGGAGGATGTAGCTGTGTACTTCTCCTCGGAGGAGTGGGGCCTCCTTGATGACACGCAGAGACGCCTGTACCATCGCGTGATGCTGGAGAACTTCGAACTCATATCATCATTGGGTAAGACTCATCCTCCCCAGTGACCTGGGTGCGTCTGTATCCCAGCTTACCAGCATTTCCTCAGCGGATCTCTGTCCTTCTCACATACGGACTGTGGTTGTTGCTTATTTCCTCAAGGGTCTGAGTAAGTGGTTTGTGGCCAGGGCAGTACTGCCCTCCGCTTTTCCCTGAAGTCCCAGTACTTGCCGTACTGAACTCCATAAGGACGGATCTGAGTTGCATAGTCCTGCTGGGAGTCTAGTCTATTGGACTGTTGCCCTCTCCCTGGTCATTCAGTGTGTCCAGATCCATGGCACATCTGTATCCCAGGGTTTGATCCCTTCCTGAAGCCATTTTCTTAGTGCCCTCCTGTTCCTTGTTACAGTCTTATCAGTCTGTGAACTTGTATTTAAAATGTACAGTGTGTTGGGCCTCCCCGGTGGCGCAGCGGTTGAGCGCTGGGTTGCGAAGCTGCCCGCGGCCTCTGCGGCACCGGTTCGATCCCCGGCTGCTCCCCGGCCACCAGAGGAGGGTCCCACATGGCGCGCAGACCTCCCCTGCCGCCCGCTGCTCCCCTCAGCAGTGTACTTCTGTCCTTCTGCCTGCTCTGCTCCCTGCTCTGGCTCTGGTGAATTCTCTCACCCTCCTGCGCCTCTGACTGTACCCAGTGCTTGTACAAACAAACAAACAAATAAATTAATAAATAAATAAATCATGCCTCTATTAAAAAAAAAAAAAAAAAAAAATAAAATGTACAGTGTGTTGATATGTGTATATACCTTGCCCCATAAAAATTAACAGTTCCATCACTTGTTACCTTTTGTTTTACTTGTATTTAAGTCTTCCTATGAAATACCATTAAATAATTAAGTACTGTTGAATACTTTTACCATTAAATGAATATATGCAGACTTCTGAAATGTAAAGGTAAATTAACGAGCTATTAGACATTATAGAGCATAATACATAATTAAAATCTATGTGGTAGTGGTAGTTAAATTGTCTGTTACTGATATACTGAGACGGGAAAGTGACTGCATAGTGACAGGAAATCCAAGAAAAATTGGAGGAAAGAAATACTTGGAGGCAAAACCTCTAGATTAAGGTTAGATTAAGGAACTTTGGATCATTCCAGTTTGGACGGTGGGGCCTAGGCTGGTTGGAGTTGACAAATCCAGTTGCATGTCAAATGTGGAATGTGAAACAGCAGGCTGGGAACTCAGAGAAACGACACTTAGTGTTTTCCTCACAGATCCCTGTTTTCCTAACTGATGTTTCTCAATAAGGTTGATGAGCTTTCTTTACCATTTCTGGTAAGGGGTGCGTTGAGTGATGATGAACTCCCTCAGCTTTTGTGTCCTTCATTGCATTTCTGAAGGACACTTGGCTGTAGAAAGCCTTATTGGTTGGCAGGTGTTTTTCCTCCAGCATTTTAACTTACTCTGTTTTTATGATATGGATGGTTTCTGCTGTGGCATTTTCTTATAGCCTTATGGTGCTTCCATTGTAGGCGGTGGATGCCTTTTGTTGCTTTCAAAGTTCTATTTTGGGAGCCTCCCTTTTGACAGGGGTTAAGTCTCAGTGCTATGAAACTATCACCTCAGAGGCCTAAGTTCAATCCTAGGCCAGAGAGCTGACCCACAGGGCGCAGCAGGCCTCTTCTGTCTCTCCCCTCAGCAGTGGATTTCAGTAGATCTGCCTGTTCTGCTCACCACTCTCTCTGGTGAGTCCTCTCACCCCCCACACCTCTGGCCTGCAGCTCAGTTTTTATATGCATAAATAAAGATAAGTCTTTACCAAAAAAAGCTCTATTTAGCTCCGTCTTTTGAAAGATATATTAAAATGTGTCTTAGTGAATATCTCGTTGGGTTGAATTGGTTTGGGCGCCTGTGAGCCTTGCAGTATGGATATCCTCTTACTTAAAAACTTTTGGGCCATAATTTCTTTAAATAAGCTTTCTCCCTCATTCTCTTTTGTCCCTATGACACACTCATAATGTGAATACTGTTTCCTGTGACTGTGTACCATTAATTCGCTTTACTCTTTCCTTGTCCTCTGACTGCATGACTTGAAGTGACCTGATTTCAAGGTTACAGAATTTTTACCAATCGTTATGGTGGTGGGGCCTCCCCTGGTGGCGCCGGCGGTTGAGCGTGGCATTGTGAAGCTGTCCGCAGCCTCTGCAGCGTGGGTTCGTTCCTGGCCTGCCAGCGAAAATCCCACATGGCGCGGCAGACCTCTCCTGTCACGCCTGCCGCTCCCCTCAGCAGTGTATTTCGTCAGTCTGCAGGTTCCCTGCTTTGTCTCTGGTGAATCCTCTCACCCTCCCGTAGCTCTGGCCTGTACCCCAGTTCTTATATAAAAGTAAATAAATAAATAATCTTTTTAAAAAAAAAGATTGTTATGGTGGACTATACATGGCACTTTTGGGTCTGGGGCGGGACCAAGCATGTAATTGCTCTGCTTCTCCGTGGACTGAGGCCAGGGTTAGCCGGCTTTCAGGGGTTCTCCTTAGCCAGAGCTCCAAGGTAAGCTCACAGGTTCCCCACAGGGTGAACTGGTGAGTGTGACGGCAGGATGGTATTCAGTCCATATTAGGAATGCTTCCTGCTGATCCCGTACTTTTTGTGTTCACTTCTGGTGCCACACAACCATATCTGCTTCTCCCTTCCCATGACCTGCCTTTTGCTCACTGGTTGGTTATCCTCTTTCACCGTTTCTGCTCTGTCTTTCAGCCCAAAGTTAATCTTTCCTCTCTGGACTTACTGTCCTAGCCATTTCTCTCCTAGTGCTTCTCTTACTCCACACCTGCCCTTAGGTGTGCACACGTCCCTAAATTGTCTTGAAAAGTACCTAGTGCTTTATCATTGGCTTTACCTGAGTTTCAACACTTGCTTCTACACGCTCAATGTCACCAGCAGTCAAGGTCCTGCGTGTTTACATCATGCCTCTTTTCCTGGCCTTACCCTTGGTGAGGACTCCAGATTCCGCTGGTGTGGGGGTTCATGAGTGCCCAGCAGCCGTTTCTCCAGCATGATGTCAGCTACTTTACCCGTTGAGAGGAAAGCATCCTGTAGACACATCCCTAGGTGGCCAAGGTGCCCGTTTGGAACTGCCTGTCTCTCCCTGTAAGTTCAGAACGTACTTCACGGTTTTCTCTGTGTCCAGGTTGCTGCTGTGGAGCAGAGCATGTGGAGGCACCCTTGGAACAGAGCGTCTCTGTGGCTGCATCCCAGGCCAGCTCTCCCAGGAAACCCTCAACTGCTAGGACGAACCACCCCTGTGACGTGTGTGGGCCAGTCTTGAGGGACATTTTCTGCTTGGCTGAGCACCAAGGAACACAGCACAGCCAGAATGTGTTCAGGTGTGGGGTATGTATGAAGCCATTTTATTTTGATGGGAACTTCCGGGAGCACCAGGAACAGCACTTGGCAGAGATGCCGTTCAAAGGCAGCATGGACAGCACCTCACTAGTGAAGAGCTTGGATTTCCATGTGTCAGGAAAGCCGTTTCCCCGTGGAGACGAGGGGAAGGACTTCCTGGTGGCCTTGGATCGTCTCCAAGGGGCCACTCACACCAGGGAGATGTCAGGTCAAGTCACCCCGGCCAGAGCAGCTTTACAGAGCCCAGAAAGTAATGAGACCAGGGGCGCATGCAGGAAAGCCTTCAGCCCCGAACACACACATGTTCAGGATCAGGGCGTGCACACCGGCAGACAGTGTTTTGTGTGCAGCGAATGTGGGAAAGCGTTTGGGAACAAATCTTCATTTGTTGCTCACCAGAGAGGTCATATTGGACAAAAGCTTTATGACTGCAGCGAATGTAGTAAATCCTTTAGGCGAAGCTCAAACCTACGCAAACATCAAAGAATTCATAGTGGGGAAAGGACTTACAGCTGCAGCGAATGTGGGAAATCTTTTAGGGACAGATCCCAGTTCAGTCAGCATCAGAGACTTCACACCGGAGAACGGCCTTTCGAGTGCTCCGAGTGTGTGAAGTCTTTTCCCTGCAGCTCCAGACTCCTTTCTCATCAGAGAGTGCACACAGGGGAGAGGCCTTATACCTGCAGCGAGTGCGGGAAGTCTTTTTCATACAGCTCGACGCTCAGACAACACCAGAGTGTTCACACAGGAGACAGGCCTTACGTGTGCAGGGAATGTGGGAAGTCCTTTAAACGGAGAGATCACCTTCTCATACATCAGCGAGTTCACACAGGAGAAAGGCCGTATGAGTGTAATGAATGTGGGAAATCCTTCACTTACAGCTCAACACTCAAAGAACACCAGAGAGTTCATACAGGAGAAAGGCCTTACGTGTGTGGTGAGTGCGGGAAGTCCTTTCAACAAAGAAATTACCTTCTCATGCACCGGAGTGTTCACACGGGGGAGAGACCTTACGAGTGCAGTGAATGTGGGAAATCTTTTACCTATAGCTCGGCTCTCAGGGAACACCGGAGAGTTCACACCGGGGAAAGGCCTTATGAGTGCACTGAGTGTGGGAAATCCTTCACCTCTAGCTCAACGCTCCGAGAACACTGGAGAGTTCACACTGGAGAAAGGCCGTATGAGTGCACTGAGTGTGGCAAATCCTTTAGCCGCAAATCTTTCCTTTCCCACCAGAGGCTTCACTCTGGGGAAAGGACATACGAGTGCAGCGAGTGTGGGAAATCTTTCACCTGTGGCTCCGCGCTGCTGACGCATCAGAGAATTCACACGGGAGAAAGGCCTTACGAGTGCAGTGAGTGTGGGAAATGTTTCACCCAGAGCTCATCCCTCACTGAACACTGGCGAGTTCACACGGGAGAAAGGCCTTATGAGTGCAGTGAGTGTGGGAAATCTTTCACCCACAGCTCAACCCTCAGTAAACACCGGCGAGTTCACACAGGAGAAAGGCCCTATGAATGCCACGAGTGTGGGAAATCCTTCAATCAAAGCTCTGCGCTCTATTTACATCAGAGGATTCACACTGGAGAAAGGCCTTATGAGTGCAGTGAGTGTGGGAAAACATTTACTCATATCTCTGCTCTCCGTCTGCATCACAGAGTTCACACTGGAGTGAAGCCTTATGAGTGCAGTCAGTGCGGGAAGTGTTTTAGCCAAAGCTCAAAACTTCATCAACACCAGAGACTTCACACTGTGTCTAGGCCTTTTGAGTGTAGTGAGTGGAAAATCCTCTGCCGATAACGCCACCTTCTTAAACTCAGAAGAGATGACGGTGTAAAGCGATCATGGGTACTACTGTATTCCTTGAGCAGCAAATACGCATACTGCATCGAACCATTATGGGGCCGTGAATGTGGGAAATCCTTTTTTCAAAACACTCTCCAGAGCTCAGTGTGAGGAAGGATTGTAGAAGTGCAGTGAATGTACAAAAGCCTTCAGTTTTATCGGATGCCACAGAATTCACATACAAAACACCTGTGTGCTGGTAACATGGTTTATGCTTGGGCACATCAGCACTGGGGAGACGCTTGTGGATGTCCCCTCGGCCTGTATCCAGCACACACGTACGCAGCCGCGGAAATGTCAGGTTTGGGACGTGTGTATTACGCTTTTTTAAGGACCTTTCCCACGTTGATGTCACTGCCGGTTTCATCGTGTAAGCCTCTCACTTGTGAGGGTGAGCAGGTGCTGAAGAGTTCATCATGGACCCAGCACAGCATGTGCGGGGGGGTCAGCCTGGACGTTCTCCCATTTGTGGGCACAATTTGTAAGAAACCTGAGCTCTCGTTCCTTTCTCCTTTCTCTGATTTGTTTCATCCCTAACCTGACCGATTTTTGGTGGGAGAATCCAACCCGTGACTAGAAAGCTTAGATTATGATTTTCTGGGTTGCTGGTCTCACATGGCTCCTGTGATGGAATTTCCCAGCGTTCAGGTCGCTGATCCACCAAAAGCCTATCGCCTCTTGCTCTCATTTGGATGACTTTTTATTTTGGCACTTTGCAATCTTGGGACTTCTAGTCACTATTTGTGAAATTTTGAAAATGAGTTCTGACTTGAAGGGGTAAACATTTCTTTTTAGTTTATGGCCTTTTTATGCTCCTCAGAGAGCTATATAATAGCAGATCTTGCTTTGTTCCTCAGTCTCCAAGACAAGACTGCAGGGCTTCCTGGTTCTCATTGGAGGCCTTTGTGCTATTTTAGGAGACTGCAGTAACTCTGAGGAGGTGACAGTTGTAACAGCTTCACCTTGTAGGAACAGCATGAATTTTTCCCCCTCGTTCACAGTGAATATCACAGAGATTTGGTGTATTGAGAGGACGCTCTTACCCAGTTCCGGCAAGCTCACGTGTGCTCAGCTATTTCCAGTTTCATGTGTGCCAGTCACTGCTTGTATGCTGATTGGGGTCAGTGGAAACCACAGCTGCTACTGACACAGTGGATTAATGTGAATTGCAGGCGCTATAGAGACCTAGACGGAGTGTGCCTCTCCTAAAACTACATCCAGACGTGTTTCTGTGACAGGGACTGTGCGAGATGAGTCTGTACACAGATCTCTGAACCGCTAAGCGTGTTCATCTTGTGTAGCTCATGTCATTCAGAGAAAATAATGAAAAGGTCTGTGGATTCCTGTAGCCCCTATTTCCCTCGAGCCCATTGCTGCACCCGCAGGTAGATAAAGAGAGTAAAGGGAGATCTCTTGTCCACAGATGGGCCTTTTGTGGGAAGGTAGCATTATGTTGACAGTTGGAAATGCACTTCCATGATCACCAGTGTCTGGTGTCACTGAGGCAAGCCTGACCCCCCGCGACCTGAGGAGAGTGAGGGAGACAGTATCAACTGCTGAGCCTATTTTCTCAATAGTGGGACGTATTTTTCTAAAGCTATGAGCCAGGTTTTAAAGCTTTATTAAGGTATAAATTACCTGTCATGAACTACACATACTGAATGCAGTGTTTCTTAAGTTTTTATTTAAGTGTGTACCTTTAACACCACTCCCTTGGTCAAGTGATGACAGTGCCTGTCATCGGAGAGTTCCCTCGTGCCTTTTATTCATCTGTAACTGCCCTTCACATGTCTTCAAAGTAGATGTCTTTACATTTTCTGGATTTCTGTGACTAGAAGTCATTGTATGTTTACCTTCCTTTCCTGCTTTTTTTATGTTGCAAAATTACTTTTATCATTTATCCTTTAAAAATGATATTGTATGAGTAGCTCCACATTTTCCTCTACCTTTGGATATACCATCTTATCATTTGGTCTGTTCATAGAACTTGGGTTATTTCTATTTTTCCAGCTATTGTAAATGAACCTTCTATAAAGGTATACAATTCTTTATGTGATTAAATGTTTCATTATCTTTGTGAATACGGTGGATGCAATATCTGAGTCACAGAGTAAGAGTGTTATATAAAAAATAGGTTGTGACCTAAATTGTACCATTTAAAAAAGTTTTTTTTAAAGATTTATTTATATAAGAACGGGGGTATAGGTCAGAGGCATGGGAGGGTGAGAGATTTCCCCAGAGACAGAACGGGGAGCAGAACAGGCAGATGGACTGAAGACACTGCTGAGGGGAGCAGCGGGCGAGGCAGGAGAGGTCTGCGCGCCATGTGGGTTTCTCCCCTGCCAGCCAGGAATCGACCCCGAGCTGCAGAGGTTGCAGACAGCTTCACAGCGCTGCACTCCACCTGCTGTGCCACCGAGGAGGCCCCCCATTTTACATTCTTAACAGCAATTTGTGATATTTCAGTATCTCTACATTGTAGCAAGTACTTTGTGTGATGACCAATTAATTAACTTCTTTCATTTGTCTATATGTATTTCCCTAAGGGTTCTCTGGTGCCCTTTTTTTTTTTTTTTCTCCCAAATATTTTGTAAAATATCTCCTCATATATTGCATTTTCTTTCATGAACTTAGGCTGTTTCCCTGTTCTTAGGATAGAACTGCAGCAAAATTGTATCTTGAAATTTTGTAGTTTCTTGAATACAGAAATGACTTATTTGCGGAATGGAATAATTGCTTCAGTACTGCAAGAATATATCCTATTTTTTTTCAAACTTGTGTACCATATATACAAACACCTTACACTTCTAGGTGTATTGCGTCTTTTCCTATGCAAAACTCCCTGCAATCCCCCACCAGTGAAACATGAGCAAGATGTTGACTATAACTACATACATAGTTGAAGATACATGGGCAGCCTTAAGGCACATGCTGAGATCAGCCTTCCCTTTATTTCATCCTAGGCTTGTTGACATTTAGGAGTCCCAAAGAATGATGTGGAGTTTGTACCTTAGGGGGATTCATAGAGGGGTTTTGCCGTTACCCCACAGTTGGACATCCAAATTCTGCAAAACTGGCAATTTCCAAAAACTCACGAAATTACCCTTGGTTGCCAGGACCATTGAGAACTGAAATTATATGTTTTCTCTCATTCATGGAACTTCCTTTTCCTTTCATAATTTCATATCTGGGTTTGTGGGTTTGGTTTTTTTTTTGTTTGTTTTTGTTTTTAAGATTTGTTTGTTTATGCGAACAAGAGCTGGGGTGCAGGCCAGAAGTGCAGGGGCGAGGGGGTGAGAGAGGACTCACCAGAGACAGAGTAGGGAGCAGAACAGGCAGACTGACTGAAACACCCTGCTGAGGAGAGCAGCGGGAGACAGGAGGGTTGTCTCCCTGGCCAGGGTTTATACTCGTGCTGCAGTGGAGCCAATAGCTTCATAGTGCTGAGACTTAAACCCTGCTCCACCAGGGAGACCCTACCTGTGTTTTCTTTAGTTTACCTGTCTGAGCCTCCTGAGTGTCTTCACTCCGCCAAGTGCTTCTAGACCAAAATGGTGATTCTCCGGGCTAGATTCATAGGGCTGGAAATGAGGAAATGAGCCACGTAATGTAATAATACGCCCCGTTTTAGTGGCATCTTTCTGAGATCCCTGGCAGGACTTAAAAATGGAGAACAGTTCCGTGTTCCTGGAGGTCTCTGTCGGTCTCGGGGTGCAGCTCTTTCGCTTTGGGCGGCTGAGTGTGAGCCCCGGATTCGCAGCGCGCGTTCTGGGCCACTTGCCGGTGCGGCCTGCGGGCTGGGGTGAGACAGTGACGTGTGCTTGCGGGCGTGAGAGGCGATGGCTGGGGCGGGGGCCGTGGTTGCGGGGAGTGGACACTGCCAAGTGGTGACTCAGGCCCGACAGCGTGGGGGGACGTCTAACCACACGCATGTCTGCGGCAGGGAAGCGTCTCCGGGACGTGCGCTTTGGTCCCAATGAGCAGATTTGGGTCTGCAGCCCTTGGGAATGGTCGGTTAGTCTCAGTCTCGGGCACATCCGCGCCTCTCCGGAGCCTAAGATGCTGTCTCTAAGGACGCGAGTGAGCAGTTGCCAACGCTGAGAGGTGGGAACCCCGCCGTGTCCCGGGACGGCGGGTCAGCTGTGCCCTGGCTGCGCCTCCAGGTCCCCAAGTCGCGGGTGTCCAGACGCGGCACCTGCTCCTGGGCGGCTGCCGGGGAAACTACAGTACCCAGGGGGCACTGCGCGCCACCCGGCGGGCGTGAGCCAATCAGAGCCGGAGGCGGCCTGAGCGCGCGTGCGTGCCGGCGCGTCGGGGCGGGACTTCCGGCGGTGGCTCGCGGAGGCCGTCGTGGCTTCCGAGGCGGCCGCTCGCTGCGTCTGGGGCTCAGCGCGCCCGGCGGAGGCGCCGGGGGGTGGCGATGCCGCCGGAACGCGCCCGGCCCGGGCCCCCGCCCTCCCGCGCCCCGCGCAGTCCGGTGGCGGCGGCCGCGCCGCGGGCCCCGGCTGAGGTACCGGCCCGTCGGTCGCCGGGTGGGCGGTGCCGGCCGGGACGGGGGCGCGGGGCGTCGGGCTCGGCTGGGCTCTCATCGGGGGCGGCCGCGGGGCTCGGCCGGGGCCTGGGCGGGGACGCTGCCTCGCCTGGGGCGACTCTGAGTTTCCCGCCGAGCGCCCGGCGCGGCCGAGAGTGGGGCGGGGAGGCGTCGAGGGCCGGGCGCGGGCAGGGGCGGGGTCCGGGCGGCGGCGGGGGCGCCGCGGGCCGGGCCGGCTCGGAGCGGCGCTCTGTCGCTCCGTAGTGACCGCGCGGGACATCGGGCGGGGGTGATGTGGGTGGGGGCCGGGGGCTCCCAGCGCTCAGGATGGCCCCCAAGAGGCCGTGCCGCCTGCGCTTCCACCTGGACGCCGTGGGGCTAGGAGTGGCCGTCGGTGGGTGGACCTGCCTGGCCGCACTGCCCGCATGGGGCCGTCACCAGGTTGGACAGGAGGTCGGTGCCCGCGAGGCGCCGGCGGGTCCGAGGAGGAGAAGAAGACCGCGGCTCCGGAGAGCGTCTGTGAGAGCCGGAGACACCGGAGGGCTGGAGTGCGGGGTGGTGTCCACTAGAGAGTGGACGAGGAGTCCAGGCCCCGCGTGGGCCGCTGCAGGGTCCTGGCAGTAAGTCTGGTCCCTCCCAGAGCCACGCTGGCTCCCTGGCCTCCGCCATGCTGAGGACTGAGGGTTGTGTTGGACTCGGGTCTTTGGCTCTCCCTGAGGCGAGCGCTGGCGGCCGGCTAGCTGACACAGACCTGCCAGGCCGGTGTGGTCTCTTCCAGAGGGTTCATGGTCTCTTCTGTCTCGGCCTTCACAGGTCAGGGTGACCTTTGAGGACGTGGCCGTGTACTTCTCCTGGGATGAGTGGCACCTTCTCGACCAGGGCCAGAAGGAGCTGTACCACGATGTGATGCTGGACAACTTGGCACTTTTGTCCTCGCTGGGTAAGACTCTCCCCCTCCAGGCTCGGCATTCTCCTAGGCCCCCTACTCCGTGCTCATCTGTTCTCACCTGTGCACTGAGGCACTGCACACTTCCCAGCTCTCTGGGAGGCTGCTGACCTGGTTGGGCTGGGTTGCTTGCACTGCCCTTTCCTCCTTTAACGCCCCAATACTTGTCATCCTGAACTTGTATAGATAATTCAAGGCTGTAGCTCTACATCCTAACCGAGTTTGTTGACTTGCTTCTTACTTTCCCTTGTCCCCCCACTATTGTGTTCAGATCTGTCTCCCACTCTCTCCCAGGGCTGGCTCACTCCTTTACCTGCCACTTCCTCAGTGGCGACTGCCAGGAATTACAGGCCTGTCACTGTCTTGTTGATCTCTAATGCATGTATTTAACGTGTATGGTGGCATGATAATTCCCATATGTAGGTTGTTCACTACCTCATATACTTAGATTTTTTGTCCTGTGTGAAGTCATTATAGGTTTATTCTAGTAAGTCTTATGTGGAAATATCAGTATTGCTATCTGTAGTCACTACGTTGTAGATGAGGTCCACAGAGCTTATGCATCTCAACACTGGCACGTTTTACCAAAAAGATGAGCTGACAAACAGCTGATCTTCTCCAGACAGTCCCAACCCCTGGCATTCTAGTTTCTGTTGTTGTTTGTTTCAGTCTGATAGAGTACGTCTGCAGTATTTCCTTCTACAGCTTTTTCTCACCGCTATCCCTCATGCCCTTTAATCCTTTCTCCCTCTCTCTTCCCCCTGGACCTCAGAAGCTTCACTTGTATAGTAGTGTCTGCTACTTCATTTTCTATAAGCATTTTGCTTTGTTGAATGCTGCCCTGAGTAAATGTGCAACATTTATTCTTGTCCTGCTGATTTGCTTTACTTACTACATAGATATTCCAGAACTCCTTTCTGTAAATGGCAATGTTTAGTCTTAGTGACCTTATGACTGAACACTCCCATTCTGTATGTAAAGCACGTCTTCCTAATCCATACTCTCTTTCAGTGGGCACGTAAGTTGTTCCCACCTTCTTCTTCTTTTTTTTTTTTTAAGATTTATTTATTTATTTATACAAGCACTGGCTACAGTCAGAAGCGCGGGAGGGTGAGAGAATTCACCATAGCGGGGAGCAGAACAGGCAGACTGACGAAATACACTGCTGAGGGGAGCAGCGGGCGGCAGGAGAGGTCTGTGCACCATGTGGGCCCCTTGCCTGGGGGTCGGGGATCAAACCGGCGCTGCAGAGGCTGCGGACAGCTTCGCAGCCCAGCATTCAACCGCTGCGCCACTGGGGAGGCCCTGTTCCCACCTTCTAACTGTTGTGAACAAAGCTACAATAAACATTGTGGAGCACACAGCTTTTTGATCAGATGGTGTGGTGTTAGGTGTTTAGGTTACTGCCAGTAGTGTGTCTGACGGGTTATATGTTTTTTCCACTTTTATTTTTTTTTAAGAGTTATTTATTTGTGCATACAAGAACTGGGGTATCAGCCAGAGGTGTGGGGGGTGAGAGGATTCACCAGAGAGAGAGTGGGGAGCAGAACAGGTGGATGGACTGAAATACACTGCTGAGGGGAGCAGCTGGCGAGTCAGGAGAGGTCTACTGCGCCATGTGGGTATCTCCCTGGCTGGGGATCGAACTCGTGCTGCAGAGGCTATGGGTTGCTTCATAGGTTGCGTATTAACACCTTGCGCCACCAGGGAGGCCCCTATTTTTAATACTTTCTGTTTCACACCATAGTAAATGATTCATAAACCCCCACATTATAATATTAATATTCTGTATTCCCCCTGTATTGTCTAGTATATTTTCATGTTTTTCTGTTATTAATTAGCGTCTCTTCATTTCAACTTGAAGAACTTCCATTACCATTTCTGATAAAAAATGTAAGTGATTGATGACCTCCCTCTGTTTTTCATTGACTTGGTAATATTTTATGTCTCTTTGATTTTTGAGATAGTTTCCTGGATAAAGAATTCTTGCTTGGGCCTCCTCGGTGGCGCAGCGGTTGAGCGCTGGGTTGCGAAGCTGCCTGCGGCCTCGGCGGCGCAGGTTCGATCCCCGGCTGCTCCCCGGCCACCGGAGGAGGGTCCCACATGGCGCGCAGACCTCTCCTGCTGCCTGCTGCTCCCCTCAGCAGTGTCCTTCGGTCCTTCTGCCTGCTCTGCTCCCCGCTCTGGCTCTGGTGAATTCTCTCACCCTCCCGCGCTTCTGACTGTACCCAGTGCTTGTATAAACAAAACAAACAAACAAACAAATAAATAAATAAAAACATGCCTCTATTAAAAAAAAAAAAAAAAAAGAATTCTTGCTTGGGCCTCCCCTGGTGGTGTAGTGGTTGAGCGCTGGGCTGCGAAGCTGCCCGCAGCCTCTGCAACACTGGTTCGATCCCCGGCCACTGGCGAGGGTCCCACATGGCGTGACAGACCTCTCCTGCCACGCCCACTGCTCCCCTCAGCAGTGTATTTCATCAGTCTGCCTGTTCTGTTCCCCGCTCTAGCTCTGGTCAATTCTCTCACCCTCCTGCGCTTCTGACTGTACCCAGTGCTTGTACAAATAAATAAATAAATCTTTAAAAAAAAAGAAAAGAAAAAATTCTTGCTTGGATTTTTCTCCTTTAGAGTTAGAATTTATCAAACTTTCTGCTTTAATCAAACTTTTCTGCACTTTCTGCTTTCAAAGTTTAGTTTTTGATCATTGGAAGTTTTGTTATACTGTGTCTTGGTGAAGATCTCATTGTGGGTAAGTATGAGCATTGTCCACCTTCGTATTGACACCCTCTCCCAGTTTCAGAAGTGCTTAGCCGTCAGTTCTTAAGTGAGCTCTTTGTTCCTTTTCTCTCTTTTCCCATTGCACTCCAAGAACATGTTTCTCATGATGACATTCATGATCCAGAGTTACATTAGTCTTTAACTCTGGCTTGACTTGAAATAACATTGTTTTGAGGTCAGATTTTTTTACTGCTGCATGATGGTGATAATTGATATTCTCTGTTGTATTTTTCATTTTATTATTTATTGCATTCTAGTCTAGAAATCATTTTTTCTCTCTGATCTTGGCAAGGTATTTGGGTATGTTTTTTTCTTTTGTCCTCTGAACCACCTGTCTTCCCTTGTAGTTTACGTTAAGATAATTATTTTGAATCATTGTCAGCAATCCTTTGATCTGACATTGTATGGGTATACTTCTGGGGAACTTAATTTACTCTGTTAAGGTATAATACTTTATTTTCCTTTTTTTATAGGGGAACACCCATTTCTTTTCTCAAGTCTTTCTCTCCTGGCTCTCCTCTTCCCTTCTACGTTTCTGTGCCTTCATAAGTAATGCACTTCAGTTCTCACACTGACTACTTTTGGCTCTTAAGAAGGGTTATTACACCCTCTAATTCTCCCTGGTAACAGATGAGTGATGTACACTTAAACTCACTGTAATATTATCCAGATGTAGAATTATTCCAGGAGGCAAGTACTCATTCCCATGAGGCCCCTCCACTACACACACCTACACACAACAGTGTAGCAGAATTCTGAGAGCTAAGCCTGTGATATTACCTCTGCTTCCTGCCAACGCCTGTGAGAACAGAGCTCCAGTCATCTCCACTTGGGTTTCAGTTGACCTCCTAGAGTACATTACAGAACTCTCATTTTCCTTCAGAATTACCAAGGACATGATAAAGGATACAGGTGAATACCTTGACGAAGAAAACAAGGGCGTGATCTAGGAAGTTCTCAGCACAGGAGCGTCTATCCTGATGGAGTTGGGTTCATCAGTCTCCTTGTGTGGTTGTGGTCGCTGACGTGCAGGTTCTCTAATTCCTGAGACTGTAATCTCTGGAGGATGGGAGGATGTGGCAGAAAATTCCAAACTTCTGATCATAACTTGATGTTTTAGTTACTAATTCCTTTCCCGACAGCCAAATGGAGCCACCTCATTAGATCAGTCAGTGCTCTGAGTCCTGTCTCACATAGGACTTTACAAGGGAAGGGTGTGGGAGCCCTTTCTGAGGAACAGCGTCATAGACCAGAGATTAGAACAAGAGATTCCCCTACAGTTCTTACCAGCAGGAATTTATTTTTTATATTTTATTTTTTTTATTTTTATACAAGAACTGGGGTACAGGTCAGAGGCACGGGAGGGTGAGAGGATTCACCAGAGACAGAGCGGGGAGCAGAACAGGCAGACAGACCGAAATACATTGCTGAGGGGAGCAGCGGGCGAGACAGGAGAGGTCTGCCGCGCCATGTAGGAATCTCCCTGGCCGGCGGGGATTGAACCAGCACTGCAGAGGCGGCATACAGCTTCACAGCGCTTTGCTCAACCCGCTGCGTCACCAGGGAGGCCCTGCGAGCAGTATTTTATAAGGGTTTTGGGACTCCTATGTGGCAACCTATGGGAGAGCCTATGTCTATGCAAATGCACATATATGTAATAGTATAATACATGATCCTTCAGTATTATCTTTCCTTGTATTTCATATTTCTGTCTATATGTTATAGTTTAGTCACCTTTTTCATCATTATGCTCTGTATTTGGTAGGGAAGATACCCTGGGCTCAGTTTTCAAATGTATGACTGGGTGGGTTGTGGCAATTTTGACTCTGGGGAGGAGATGAGCCGTGTAAACAACCATTTATCTCTGTCATTTGACATCAGGGTTGACAGAGTTATGGAGCCAGTACTGCTGTGCTTCACAAGCACTTGGCCCTGAACAGTTGGTAGACCGTTGTAAGGTCTTTTCAGGATTCCTCTCCATTTAGTTAAGTTTTTTCGTTGGTTGTTTCCAATGCTACACTAACATTTCTGCTTTTCATTCCTCCTTGTTGCTAATTTGCTAACTAGTCAATCTCTTTGTCATTTCTGTTCTGGCTTCCAGTCCAGTTACAATGTCTCCTCTCTGTACTTCATTGCTCTCATAGCTACTCCTCAATTGTTCTGACACTTGGTCCTGACATGTTTTGAAGTACATATACAACACAAATAGTCTTATAAGTATCTATTCTCCTTCAGTTTTTTTATTAATTACGGAAGCTTCTGCAGAGCCTCAGGTCATCAACTGAATCTCCCAAATGCTTTGGCAGAGGAAGAAATTGCAGAACATGCCATTCTTCCTGTATTACACAATATATTGTGTCCTTCCCATGGGACTTCTCCAGACACTTTTACTGAGGGCCCCAGAGGCCCCAGAAGCCCCTTTGGCAACTAGACTCCATCTACCCCTTCTAACAAGCATCCCACATACTCATTTGCACGTGACAGATGCACACATGATGGTTTGTTCCCTCCTTTTGAAGTCAACATGTATTTCACCAGTGTTTCTCTGTACTTAGGCTGTAGCTGTGGAGTTCACGATGGAGTGATACCCTTTGAACAGTATGTTTCTGCAAACATGTCACCGCCCAGGTCTCCTGAGCCTGCCTCCTTTTCTGAGAAGAACCACTCTGTTGAGATGTATATTCCTGTCTTGAGAGACATTTTCCATATTAACATGCCTCTGGGAACACAGAACAGTCAGAAGTTGTTCGGGTGTGGGGTGTGTATTAAGCGATTTAGTTTTGTTGCAAATCTCCAGCAGCATCAAAAGCATGACTTGGGAGACAGAATCTTAAAGAGCTGTGAGGATGTGGCCACTGGAGAAAAGTCTGGGTCATGCAGTGAATATGGGAAATCTTTAGACAGTTGCGCTCAACTCTGTTCTCAGAAAGTTCACACAGGAGAAAGACCTTACGTGTGTCATGAATGCGGGAAATCTTTTACTCGAAAGGCAGTATTCCAACAACATGAGAGAGTTCACACAGGAGAGAGGCCTTTTGTTTGCAGTGAATGCGGGAAATCTTTTACGTATCGGGCAGGACTCCAACAACACCAGAGACTTCACACAGGAGAAAGGCCTTATGTGTGCAGTGAATGTGGGAAATCGTTTACCCAGAAGTCAGTGCTCCAGCAACACCAGAGACTTCACACTGGAGAAAGACCTTTTGAATGCACTGAATGTGGAAAGTCATTTATAGGAAGATACCACTACATTGTGCACCAGCGGGTTCACACAGGAGAAAGGCCTTATGAGTGTGGGGAATGCGGAAGAACTTTCACCTATAAGATAGGACTCCAGCGACACCAGAGGCATCACACGGGAGAAAGGCCTTATGTGTGCAGTGAATGTGGGAAATCTTTTGCCCAGAAAGCAGGACTCCAACAGCACCAGAGACTTCACACTGGAGAGAGACCTTTTGAGTGCAGTGAGTGTGGGAAGTCGTTTATAGGAAGATACCACTACATTGTTCACCAGCGGGTTCACACTGGAGAAAGTCCTTACGAGTGTGGGGAATGTGGGAAATCTTTTACTTGTAGTTCTTCCCTCCGTGGGCACAAGAGGGTTCACACAGGAGAAAGGCCTTACCAGTGCAGTGAGTGTGGGAAATCTTTTGCCTGTAGCTCTACTCTCCGTGGTCATAAGAGAGTTCACACAGGAGAAAGGCCTTATGAATGTACTGAATGTGGAAAATTTTTTACCCATATCTCATCACGCAATCAGCACAAGAGAATTCACACAGGGGAAAGACCTCATCAGTGCAGTGAATGTGGGAAGTCTTTTAAGAAAGGAAGTCATCTCAAACTGCACCAGAATTCACACAGGAGAAAGACCTTACGAGTGCAGTGATTGTGGTCAACTATTCACCTAGTGCTCTGCCTCAGTTAACACCAGCTCACATGTAGCAAGAGCTTTGATTAAAATGAATATGGAAAGCGCTTTGTTAACAACTCTAGTCTCTTCAAATGTAGGCGCTTCCCTTTGGACAAAGCGTGATTATGAATCGAATGTGGAAAACCCTTTCTCACAACTTCACTGTCATAAAATGCCATACTTTTCACACCAGATGTCTTTATAAATGTGGTTTATCCAATTTAGCTAATGCTATCTTCATTACACACTGTGGAGTTAACTGCAGGGAAAGTCCTCTAGGTGCTTGACTGTTAACAAAGCCATCATTCAGTATGACAGAGTTCACATGAGGAAAATGAATGTTCAGGGAATGAGCTATTTCTTGTTCAATGTAGCAGCTCTGGGGAGATTTCTGTGAGGGTGCCATCTGCCTCTATGGAACACACTCCTGATAGATTATGGAAATTCCGGGTCTGCGGACACTGCATTACGCTCATTTATATACCCAGGACCCTGCCCAGATGCATGCCTCTGCCAGTGTCCTGGCAAAAGCCATCCTTTCAGTAACCGTGGGCGGTGGTCACCAGCCGGTCAGGGAACTCTGCATCCATGCTCTCCTATTTGTTGGAGGAATTTGTGTGAAGCCAGAGCTCTCATTTCTTTTTCTTTCTTTTTTTTTTTTTTAAAAAGATTTATTTATTTATACAAGCACTGGGTACAGTCAGAATCGCGGGAGGGTGAGAGGATTCACCAGGGCCAGAGCGGGGAACAGAACTGACAGACTGACTGACGAAATACACTGCTGAGGAGAGCAGCGGGCACGGCAGGAGAGGTCTGCCCACCATGTGGGACCCTCGCCGGTGGCCGGGGATCGAACTGGTGCTCCAAAGGCAGCAGGCAGCTCCGCAGCCCAGTGTTCAACTGCTGTGCCACCAGGGGAGGCCCTTTTCCCTTTCATTTTTAGCTTTGATTTTGTTTATTCTCCCTCCCTTAGTGTCAGTGTTGAAAGTCACTTTCGCCTTTCTCTCGCTAGTGTTCCCAACGGTATGAACGATTTTCAGTCTGTAAGACACTGCCTATAATCAAAATACACGGACTGGCTTTTTCAGGGGAGGCATTGGTCTCAGGACAGGACTGCTGAGCCTGTGTTTCCAATACAATGGGGTATATAGTGCTTGTTTGCCTTGAACGTTTTTTTTTTTTTCCTCTCATGTCAGAAGGGTAATGTGCCAACATTATAACCAAGTTTAAGGGAGGCACATCTCACACCATGGTGTTAACACCCAATTATCATGCTTATGACCCGGAAAAAGAGCACCTTGAGCCATTTATTCAGGCTTTACTAAGTTAAGATTTATGTGCAATAAACCATGTTTTGGAAATGCAATATTTTATAAGTTGTCCCATATGTTTATCTGTAACCCCATCATCCTAGTTGTGGTAATGACCATACCTGCAACTATAAGAACTGGGGCACAGGCCAGAGGTGGGGGGGTAAAAGGATTCACCAGAGACAGAGCGGGGAGCAGAACAGGCAGACTGACTGAAATACACTGCTGAGGGGAACACTGGGGAGACGAGAGGTCTGCTGCACTATGTGGGTAGCTCCCTGGCCATGGATCATTCTTGCTGCAGTAGCTGAGGACAGCTTCATTGTGCTGATGCTTGCACCACCAGGGATGTGAAAGTAGAGGCATGTTTTTCTTTATTTATGCTTATACATGCACTGGGTACAGTCAGAAGCGCGGGAGGGTGAGAGAATTCACCAGAGCCAGAGCGGGGAGCAGAGCAGGCAGAAGGACCGAAGTACACTGCTGAGGGGAGCAGCGGGTGGCAGGAGAGGTCTGCGCACCATGTGGGACCCTCCACTGGTGGCCGGGGAGCAGCCGGGGATTGAACCGGCGCTGCAGAGGCCGCGGGCAGCTTCGCAACCCAGCGCTCAACCACTGCGCCACCGGGGAGGCCTTCCCTGTTCTTAAGATGACAGATTGATTTCAGTGTTTCATCAGCGATACAGTATCAGTACCTCAGCTCTCAATGTATCTTTAGTTAAGCAGTATTTTCTGGATTTGCTTCTAAACATGTTTTTTTCCCCTTGAAATATTTAAAAGTTTGTGGTAACATATACAGTTGCTCTATATGGTGATATATTTCATTTATATTTTCTAAATAACCAAGAGTGCAATGTCATAGCGTGCTGAGTGTTAACGGTTGAAGAATCTAAGTGTTGTCAGTTGTTCCCTTTTGTATTCTTACCACTCTTACAGGCATTTTGTTTCTGCACATTCTAGCAAATATTTGGTGGGTTAATTTCTTGTAATTTAGCCCTTTAATAAATTTGTCATCCTGTCTAACTGTTGCTTTCATTGCATTTTTCTAAGACTTACAATATCCTCTTTAAAGATTTATTTATTTACGCATACAAGAACTGGGCCACAGACCAGTGGTGTGGGGGGTGAGAGGATTCACCAGAGACAGTGTGGAATAGAGCAGGCGATCCACTGAAATATGCTGCTGAGGGGAGGAGCGGGGAGACAGGAGAGGTCTGCTGTGCCCTTTGGGTCAGCTCCCTGGCTAGGGATGGAACTCATTCTGCAGTGGCTGCGGATAGCTTCATAGCGCTGCTTCTTAACCCCTTGCATCACCAAGAGGCCCCAGGTCATTATATTGTTAAGACCTCTGGCTCTGGGTGGGTTTTGCCTTCCGTTTTCTGAAGAGTCATCTTACAAAGATGCAGGATCCACGAATATGAATTTGCCATCCTGACCATATGGAGGAGTCCCTCTTCAGATGGACCACTGCAGTCCCCCTCCCACCACTATCTCAACATTACTGAAGCTGAAATTAGACTATTTAGGGCGCCTCTTTGTTTAAGGAGCCTCCCTTTCTTGGTCTATCATATTTAAATAAGTCTTTCCTTTAATCGCATTCTAGTCTTGGATTCCAGACATTCAGGGTTTGTTTTTTTTGTTTGGGGGGGGGCGGGGGGGGGCAATCAGGGCTCATTTGTCCAAGCACCCCTAAATATTCAGCCTGGAACAGGAGTTTTCAGCTCCCAGTAAGTGCAAAAGTGGGCCAAGGCGGCGATCTCCAGTGTCAGGGAGTTGGGAGAGAAACTGTTTTTCAAGTGTCACGACGACCCAACTGTGTTCAGGGGAAGCCAGAGCACAAGTGAACAGAGCACCTAACATTCACCTTCAGGTCTCAACCCCGACATAGAGTTACAAAAGGGACGCCGGATATTCACGAAATGCACTTGAAAAGAAAGAGTTTGTCACCTTCCAGTAGACGCATTTTGTGGAATGACAAGATGCCCTTTGAATTTGCAGCCTTTGGAAAAAACTCAAAGTATTTTCAGGCTCTGGGAGCGTTTAGAGCTTCAGCACCGACAATACTGTCTCTGGAGACGCTCGTGAACGTCCAGAGACAACTAAAAAACCCGCCCATCTCTCCCTTAAGAGAGAGTCAGCACCACCGTGTCCGGGCAGACCAGAGACCGTCGCCCACTCGCAGCGCGGCCAGAACCTCTGTTAGTGGATGAGCTTTAGGGACTCCCGGGCCACCACGGCAGCTGAGGCAACTACATTACCCAGAGGGTACTGCGCCCGACGCACGTCCTGGAGCCAATCACAGCCTGGAGCCGCGCCGCGGCGTCCGTGCGAGCAAGCGCGAGGGGCGGGACTTCCGGCATCGCCTTCCTGCCGGAACTTGAGGCTTCTGAGGAGGCCGATCGCTGGGTGTGGGCTCCGCGCGCCGGGCGGGGCGTGGGCCCCGACGGGAGGCGCGTCCTGCGCGGAAGCGGCATCGCGGGAGCGTAGTCCGCGGAGCCCCCACGCCCGGCGCCCGCCAGCGCCTCACGCGGTCCGATGGCGGCGGCCGCGCCGGGGGCCCCGGCTGAGGTACAGGCGCGCCGGCTCCCGCCGCGGCGTCGGGGGTCCGGTGTGGGGCGCCGCGCGGGGTCCGGGAGGCGCGGGGCCGGGACCCGATCTCTTCGTTCGCTCCTGTTCGCGGCTCTGCGCCCGGACGACGCGGCGCGAGGGCGGCGGCCGCGGCCCGGGGAGGGAGACCGTTCGCTCTGGCCGGCGCCGCGGCTGCCCGGGTCGGGGCGCGAGGCGGGGCCGACGCGCGGGAGCGGGCGACGCCCGTTGCCACGGAGACGGGGACGCCGCTGACGGCCAGCCGCGGGTGGACTCGGCGGGCCGGCTGACCAGGCGGCCGGGGCTGCTGGGGCACAGCGAGTGAGTGGCGAAGGGAGCGTCCCGCGCTGTCAGGTGGCTCCTCTGGGGAGCTCCGGAGGCCGGTGGGAGGCCCCGACGCGCCCTCTGGGGCTTCCTGGCGTCGCCGACCCTGAGAAGACGGGTGTGCTGGATCCTGTCTGCGTGGCGGGCCAAGGAGCCCCCGTGCCACGTCCACCACTGAGGCCAGGGAGGAGCCTCCGTGACATGCGGGGAGAGGGCAGAGCTGTGGGACTGAGGACGCGAGAGAGGGGAGTCTGTAGGATGGTGGGCTCAGAGAGAGGGCAGGAGCCCGTGGCCAGAGCGCCCCGGAAGTGGGAAGTTCCCCTTGAAGAGAGAACCCTCTTAGGCTGTATTTCGAGCTCGAATCTGGTAGGTTCCAGGGACTGTCTTGACAGAAAGGATGGGCCAGGCCTCTTGCATGATGGCGCCCCTGGGCCTTCCCCCCAACCCCCACTTGTTACTACTGAGGGCTGAAGACAGCGAGAAATGGGATCCTGAGGGTTGGTGGTTTCATGGCCATCAGGGCCTGGTCGCTTCTGCACTGGGCTGCTCCGGACCATGGATCCATCTGTCAGCACATGGGTTGTGGTTTCCCAGAGAGAAAAGCTCATGTTTTCGTCTGTCGCTGCCTTGACAGGACAGTGTGACCTTTGAGGACATTTGTCTGTACTTCTCCTTGGAAGAATGGAATCTTCTAGACCAGGCCCAGAAGGACCTGTACCACGACGTGATGCTGGACAACTCTGCCCTTATTTCCTCGCTGGGTAAGACTCATCCTCCCCACTGACCTGGGCTAGACTCCTGAGCCTCTTTACTCAGGGGTCTTCTGTTCTTCAACAAGTGAACTGACAGCACTTGCTCCCCAGTGCTCTGGGTACGTGCTGCCCTTGATTGAGCTCGCTTGGGGTTTTTTTTCCATTGCTGCCTTCTCTCCATTGAAGCGCCCCAGTGCCTGTTGCACCAAATCTGCATAAAGACAGAGTGGAGGCCTTAGTCTACTTGGATAGCACCGTGCTTGCCTTTCCCACCCGGTGATTGTGTCCAGATCTGTCTCATGCTCTAATCCAAGGCTGGATCCATCTCTACCTGTCACATCCTCAAGACCTGCCTGTGGCAGAAATTCCAATCTTGTCATGGCCTTGTCGGTGTTGAAAGAGTATGTATAGGGCCTCCCTGGTGGCGCAAGGTGTTAAGCACTGCACCATGAAGCAATCCGCAGCCTCTGCAGCACAAGGGCACTCTCCGGCCTGCCAGGTAGCAACCCACATGGCGCAGCAGACCTCTCCTCTCTCGCCCGCTGCTCCCCTCAGCAGTGTATTTCAGTCGCTCTGCCTGTTCTGTTCCCCGCTCTGTCTCTGGTGAATCCTGTCACCCCCGCATCTCTGGCCTGTACCCCACCTCTTGTATGTATAAATTAATAAATATTTTTTAAAAATAAAGATTTATTTTTATTTATTTATGCATACAAGAGCTGGGGTGTAGGCCAGGGGTGTTGGAGGTGGGGGTGAGAGGATTCACCAGAGACAGTGGGGAGCAGAGTAGGCAGATGTACTGAAATACACTGCTGAGGGGAGCACTGGGGAGACAAGAGAGCTCTGTTGCGCCAAGTGGGTCAGTTCCCTGGCTGGGGATCAAACTCAAGCTGCAGTGGCTGCTGATTCCTTCATAGTGCTGACACAACCACTTGTGCTCCAAGGGAGAGCCCTCACTTGTTTCTTTCTTTTTTTTTTTTTTTTTTTTGAAGATTTATTTATGCATACAAGAGCTGGGGTACAGGCCAGAGGCGTGTGTGTGGAGGGGAGGGAGGTGAGAAGATTCACCAGAGACAGAGTGGTGAGCAGAACAGGCAGACTGACTGAAACACACTGCTGAGAGGAGCAATGTGGAGACAAGAGAGGTCTGCTTCGCCATGTGGGTTGCTCTCTGGCCGGGTATCGAACTTGTGCTTCAGTGGCTGGCAATAGCTTGATAGCCCTGAGACTTAATCCCTTACCCACCAGGGAGGTCCCTCACAGGTTCATTCTTTAATTTTACAGATGAACATGTGTTTGAGGTTTCTGCTCCCTGTAAAGTCATCATGTACTTCACAGTGTTTCTCTGTATTCAGGTTGTTGCTGTGGAGAAGAGAATATGGAGACACGGTTTGGACAGAGCACGTCTGTAAGAATGTCACAGGCCAGGACCTCTAAGCCTACTCCCTCTTCCCAGAGTACCCACTCCCATGAGATGTGTAATGCAGTCTGGAGAGACATTTTTCACATGACAGAACCCCTGGAAACACAAAGCAACTGGAAGTTGTTCGGGTGTAGGGTATGTATGAAACAGTTTACATATGAAGCAAGCCTCAAGAAACCCCAAAAGGATGACTTGGGAAATACATGTTTCAGAAGTCACAGGGATGTGGCCAATTGTGAAAAGTCATATGCATGTAGTGAATGTGGGAAATCTTTTAGCCAAAGCTCTGCACTTCTTCAACACCAGAGAATTCACACAGGAGAAAGACATTATGTGTGCAGTGAATGTGGGAGATTATTTACCCAAAAATCTTACCTTCTTATACACATGAGGATACACACAGGAGATAGGCCTTATAATTGCAGTGACTGTGGAAAGTCGTTTATCAGTTGTTCTAACCTCCGTTACCATCAGATACTTCACACTGGAGAAAGACCCCATGTTTGCAGTGAATGTGGGAAATCTTTCACATATAAGGCTGGACTCCATCGACACCAGCGGCTTCACACAGGAGAAAGGCCTTATGTGTGCAGTGAGTGCGGGAAATCTTTTACTCAGAAGTCAGTACTCCAGCAGCACCAGAGACTTCACACTGGAGAAAGACCTTTTGAATGCACTGAATGTGGAAAGTCATTTATAGGGAGATTTCAGGTCATTGTACACCAGCGGGTTCACACAGGAGAAAGGCCTTATGAGTGTGGGGAATGCGGAAGAACTTTCACCTATAAGACAGGACTCCAGCGACACCAGAGGCATCACACAGGAGAAAGGCCTTATGTGTGCAGTGAGTGTGGGAAATCTTTTACCCAGAAACCAGGTCTTCAACAGCACCAGAGACTTCACACTGGAGAGAGACCTTTTGAGTGCAGTGAGTGTGGGAAGTCGTTTATTAGAAGATACCACTACATTGTACACCAGCGGGTTCACACTGGAGAAAGTCCTTACGAGTGTGGGGAATGTGGGAAATCTTTTACTTGTAGTTCTTCCCTCCGTGGGCACAAGAGGGTTCACACAGGAGAAAGGCCTTACCAGTGCAGTGAGTGTGGGAAGTCTTTTGCCTGTAGCTCTACTCTCCGTGGTCATAGCAGGGTTCACACAGGAGAAAGGCCTTATGAATGTACTGAATGTGGAAAATTTTTTACCCATGTCTCATCACTCAATCAACACAAGAAAATTCACACAAGAGAAAGACCTCACGAGTGCAGTGAATGTGGGAAGTTCTTTAAAGAAAAAATTCATCTCAAATTACACCAGCGTACACACTGGAGAAAGGCCTTGGGAATGTAGTGAATGTGGGGAAACTTCCATACAATGCTCTGCCTCTGTCAGCGCCAATCAGTTCACACTGGACCAGGGTCTTTGGGCTACAGGATATGTGGAAAATGCTTGGCTAACAACTACAGTCTCATTAAGTGCAAGAGCCTACACTTTAGCAGGTATGATTATGTAACAAATACTCTAAGTTCTTCGGTTTTCTGTAACACCAGACTGTTCACATTGTCTTATGAGTTGATGAATGTGGGGACTCCTTTATCAAACACTATCCTCATTACTCTCTGTGGGGAAGGCCTTCCTTGTGTAGTGAGCGTGAGAAAGTCATCAGTCTTACCTCATTTAAAACCACAAAGTTCACATCAAAAAAAAAAATGTAGTGGGGATGATTAATTTCATTTTCCTTATAATATAAGGATTCAGAATTTTTTTTTTGTTTTCTCTATTTGGTAAATGTCTACTCATAGCTATTGCTAATTTCACTATGAACTTTCATTTTTTATTAGAATTGCATGTCAATTTCACTTCCTGCAATACATGAGCAATATATTTGTTGAGTACATAATTGTTTTCAATACTGAAGAACATACCCTTTTAAAAGGAAATGTTTTATGCTCTACATGATATAATGTACACATATACCATACATTTTTAATATTAAACTGTTTTTTAATATAGTCTGTTTCTTTTATTTTTCCTTTTTTTTTTTAGATTTATATATCATATATATAAAAGAACTGGGTTACAGGCCAAATGCGCGGGAGGGTGAAAGGATTCACCAGAGACAGAGTGGGGAACAGAACAGGCAGAATATAGTCTCTCTCTTAATTTTTTTTTTCCCTAAAGATTTATTTATTTATTTATACAAGCACTGGGTACAGTCAGAAGGGCGGGAGGGTGAGAGAATTCACCAGAGCCAGAGTGGAGAGCAGAGCAGGCAGACTGATGGAAGTACACTGCTGTGGGGAGTAGCGGGCGGCAGGAGAGGTCTGCGCACCCTGTGGGACCCTCACCTGGTAGCCGGAGATCGAACTGGTGCTGCAGGGGCTGTGGGCAGCTTTGCAACCCAGCGTTCAACCACTGAGCCACCAGGGAGGCCCTCTGTTTCTTAATTCTAAACTTTTAATAATGTGATATAATCTTGCTGTATACTG